AGGACCCTGGTTTGATTCCCAGCACCCACATGGTGGCTACGAACCATCCTTAACTCCAGTTCCAGGGGAATCCAAAGCCCTCTGCGGCATTGCTAAAATAAAAATAATAAATAAAATGTTTTAAATTAAAAAAATAATAATAATAATAAATAAAAATTAATAACACTGCTTTCTAGCCATTTCAAAAATAAAACAATATATTTAGAGTAAAAGTTCTATCCCAGGTAAAAGCTTTCTCATTTCCAAAATCAGAATATTACTTTAAATTTTAGTTTTAATGTGTTTAATTTATTCATAATCTTTCCTTGAGCTAAAACAAGTACATCTGTGTTGTCCACTTTGAGTAGGAAAGAGAGAAGCTGAAAAGGGCCAGAGCAAATATTTTTTGACTGACCTTCTATGTTTGTAAAACAAGGGGCCTCTGCTGTGCAAATGAATAAAGTTGAGATTTGTCTAAGTAAACCCAATTTCTCCAACTACACTGGCCTCAGTTACACCCAGTACAAACACTCTCAATATCCACTGCACTCTTCCTTCCTAGCTCCCACTCCTTACTCTGATTCAAAAATCTCTTTTTCATTTTTTAAGAAAATTCCAGGTGACTGGAGGCTTGCTCATATGAACCTGTGGCAGTGGTGGCATTGAGAACAGGACCCATGTCAGCTCAATTAAACAAGGGCCCAAAGGGGAAGTGAGAAATAGGTGGTGGGCTGGCACTAGACTGAGAACTATTTGAGACTGATTGCTGCTGGGTGAGGAAGAGTATGACTTACATACAACCACTGGATGAGCTGACTAGACTCCAGTGGATGCAGTTACATTGAAGGACATTTGGGTACAAATGAATGAATAGGACTTCGCATGTATGGCAAAATGCATAGGGCTTGGTGGGGGATGGGGGAGGCAAGGGTGGGGGAGGGGGTCTGGATTTGATTGGAAAATATAGAATTTAAAAAGCTCAATTATTAAAAGAGGAGGAAAAAAATTAAAAATAAAAAATTCATTTTTATGTGTGTGTGCCTGCTTGTCTGTATGAGCACCACATGTGAGTACCTGTAGAACCCAGAAGAGGGTGTCAGATCCCCTGGAACTGAGCCATGGGAATTGTAGGCCACATGATGTGGGTGCTGGGAATCAAACCTGAATCCTATGCAAGCGCAGCAAGCTCTTAACTGCTGAGCCACCTCTCCTGTGCCCTGACTTAAATTCTTTACCTTTATTTATAAATTCTTCTCTGGTCCCCCAAAAAGAAAGGGTTTAAAGATATCTGGATTCAGATCAAGAAGGAAAAAAGGGAGGAAATGATAGGGGTATTAAGGATACAATTCAATGATTTTTTTAAGAATATTTACAGAATATTTCAACAATCTCCAATTTTAGTTTTATAACATTTCCAATACTCAAAAAAGGATTTTATATCCTTTCCAAACAAACCAGGGCAACCTAAATAAGTAGTGTGATTTCTGTTTCCACTGAATTGCTCTTTCTGGGTATTTTATATAAAATAGCAAAAATAATATTATAAAAGAACAAAGTTGAAAGACTCATACTTCCTGATTTCAAAATGTTCAAAGCCACAATAACAATGTTGTACTGAGATAAAGACAGTCATATAGACCAAGAGAATGGAGTAGAGAGCCTAGAAATAAGGCTTCATATATATGATCAAATGATTTTTCAAAATGACACCATGACCATTCAATGGTGAAAGGATGGTCTCTTCTACAAATGGTTCAGGGAAAACTGGAAACACACATACAAAAGAATGAAGAAGAATCTTAAGATCTTATGGGGGAGGAAATCTACCCACTAGGGGTGGCACTATTCCCTGGGCTGAAATTCTGGACTTTATTAAAAAGGAGAAAGTGAGCTGAGCAAAGTATCCATCTGTGCTTCCTGAGTGCAGGTGCAATGTGACCAGCCAGCCTCCCACTCCTACCACCACACCTTCCCTGACTGCTGCCATTTCTTCTTCCTCTCATGATGAACTGTATCCTTCTAGAGCTATAAACCAAAATAAATCATTTCTCTCTTAAGTTGCTTTTGTCAGGGTATTTTATCACAGCAACAAGAAACTAAGACACCACCTTAGCATGATGATCTGAGTTTGATTCCCATCACCCACATAAAAAGCCAGGTATGGCAATGCAAAACTGTAATCCTAGCAATGGGGAAGTGAAGACTGGTGGATCACTTGAGCTCAAAGGCTAGTCGATCTAGCCTATTTGATGAACCCCAAGTAGGCAGCTCCTGAGAAACAACCAGCTGCTGAGAAACACCACCTCTGGCCTCCACATACATGGGCACCCACATGCATGGGCACCCACACACATTAACACACATGTAATGAAACACCAACTCACCCCTATAAAGGTAGTTAATTTCAAATAAAAGAAAATAGCAACTCTTGGCAAGTATGTAGAGAAATTGGTACCCTTGCACACTATTAGTGAGAAGGTAAAATGGTACACCTAACTGGGGAAAACAGTGTGGGAGATCCTCAAAAAAGAATTCTGGTTTGGGTTTTGTTTTTTGTTGCCCCAGCTGGCCTGGAATTTGCTATGTAGAACAGACTGGGTTTGAACTCTACCTCCCAAGTGCTGGGATTCAAGGTGTGCACCACCATACCTGACTCCCAAAGATATAATAATTCCATATCTGGTTATATACCCATAAGAGCTGAACACAGAGTCTTTAAGAGATATTTGCACAATCATGATAAGAGCAATAATACAACAGTTAAAATGATAAAAGCAACCCAAGGGACTGGCAGTGGATAAATGAATAATGAAAACTAATGGCATGTCAATACAATGTACTATTATTCAACCTTAAAGAAATTCTGACATGTAACATAGATGAGAATTAAGGGCACTATGCTAAGTGAACTAAGTCAGTCATAGATAAATAATGTCTGAGTATTCATATGAGGTATTTGGAGTAATTGAAATCACAAATAGGTAACAGAATGATCGTTACTAGGCAGATGACGAGGAAAAATGGGGGAATCCCACCATTTCTGTATAACCAGTACAGAGTGTTACGTTATAAGAATTCTGGAGATGGGTATATAATATTATGAGTTGACAAAATACTCCTAGTACAAACACCCTTTAAAATGATTAAGCTGGAAATTTTTATGATGCATATTTTCACACAATTAAAAGGAAGTAAAGGATTATTTTTTAGACACACGCACACACATATATGTATATTTATACATTACACCATCATATACATGTAATTTACACAGGGATCCACAAAAGAAATAAAGCCAGGCACATGAACTTGGGGGTTTTTTTTAATTATTTTTAAATATTTTATATTTATATTTTTAAATTTTTTAAATATTTCTTATTTTACATGTGTGGGTGTTTGGCCTGCATGTATGTAAATGTACCATGATCATGGAATGCCTGTGAAAGCCAGAAGACGGCATCAGATCCACTGGAACTGGAGTTCCAGATGGTTATTAGCTACCATGTGGGTGCTAGGAAATGAACCCGGGTACTCTGCAAGAGCAGCCAGTGCTCTTAACTGCTGAGCCATCTCTCTAGCCCTCATGTTGTACATAGTTTTAAGCAAATGACATAGTTTTATTATTTTTTGTAGTTGTAAAAAACAATGAATATATATATCACATTTTCTTTATCCATTCATCAGTGAACAGACACCAAGGCAGATTGAATAACTTTATTACCGTTGAACAGTGCTGTAACAAACATGGATCTAAACGTTTCTCAAGGATTTTAACTAAAGACTTACACAATAGGTTGTGCTACTTGGTGGGTGACAGGGGCAGAGACATAAGGGGCAGGTTGTCCTCCAATCATTCCCGAACCATCTTCAAGAGAGAAGGAAAGAAAGAACACATTTGTTTCAGAATCTTTTTTTTTTTTTTTTTTTTTTTTTTTTTTTTTTTTTTTGGTCTTTTTGAGACAGTGTCTCCCTGTAGCTCCAGCTGTCCTGGAACTCACTATGTAGACCAGGCTGGCCTTGAACTCACAGAGATCTGCCTGCCTCTGCCTCCCAAGTGCTGGGATTAAAGGTGTGCACCACCATGCCTGGCTTGTTTCAGAATCTTAGTAACACTTTATCCCTAAAGGAAAAAAATACAGAATGCTTTCCCCAAGCATTCTGTATATCCTTCTTTGTTAAGAGTTAACAAAGAACAAGCTAGAGAGTTGGCTCAGCAATCAGAGGACCTGGGTTAGATTCCCAGCACTACATGGTAGCTAATAACTGTAACTCCTGTTCCAGGGGATCCAATGCCCTCTTCTGTCCTCTGCAGGCACTGCACTACATGAGTACACTTACATACATGCATGTAATACACTCATACACATAAAATAAAAGTAATAAATATTTTTTAAAATGTAAGAGTTAACAAAGAACAAAAGGTTTTTAAAAAGACCAAAATGTAAATACAAAATAATTACTTCTTAACTCTGGGTAAAAAGGAAATAACTCCTGCCTTTATCAGGAATTGCACTTTAAAATGGGTATTGCTATGGTTTGTTCTCCAAAACTCATGCAGGAGTTTAACTCACAAAATCTTATACCCCACTAGAAACTTAATTAGATTATAGTATGTAGAGGTGAGATCTTTAAGAAGTGATCAAATTATTAAGATTCAAATCCATGACTGAATCCTGATGAGTCTTACAAAGAGAAGAAAGAGATCACAGAGAGATACACATTTATGCTTACCCTGCATATATGGTTTGAGCATAAATGGTAAAACAAACCTAAACAAACTAAAACAAACCTTTTCTTCATAAAGCACCCTTTTCAAGTATTTTAACAAAAATGGATTTGACAGTAGGTATGAATTTTCTGTCAATAAGTATACACTATTTGAGTCAAATGAACTTGTATTTTTTTACTTATATACTGTTGCTTGCATAAAACCAATGATCCTTACTAAAACCACTAGAAAGGTGTTTACAGACCACTTACAATAAGCAATACTGGGATCCAAAGTATTTCTGGCACCATAAAAATAATATGCATCATCATAAGGTGTTCGATAGTTAGCAGCCAAAGGTGGTAGGAGGGGAGGAGGAGGCAGAGGTACAATCCTATAGCAAAAGAAAAATGAAAAGTTATTCTCATATTTCTAATTCTTTGGCAAAAAAATTACTGGAATTCAATTACTAGTTTAGAAAAAAAATTGTTCTAATTCTTCAAGAAAATTATGAATCAAAAAGCAAACAACATATAACTTACAACTTCAGGTACCTCATTTAAGTAAGACAAAAACAATTTGATACTGTAATCAATTAATGTCCAACAGGCATTAGATGCCAGTATCAAATGAAAAGAGATATGTTCCCTGTCCCTCAGTAATACAGAAATATAAGCAATTAGAAAAGCACAGCAGTAAAGAACATAAGGCAAATAGATGGAGAATGCTAGGGAATCTAGAGCAGGGACTTTAGACTCCTAAGATGGGAAGAAAGCTCAGAATACTTCATAGAAGAGGAAATGTTTGAGGCCTGTGATGAATGAAGATGGTCACAGACAGAGAAAGGGCAGAGAGAAGGCAAAGAACTCCAACACTTCATGACTACAGATGGTTCTGTGTGGGAGAAAAGACACGTGTGTGCACGTACGTATGTGTGCAGGTGCCTGAGTGTTCTTTAGGAACTCTCCACTTTGTTTTTTAAGACAAGGTCTCTCATTAGCCAAGAGCTCACTGATTAGGCCAGGCTGGGTGGGTGGCCAGCAAGCCCCAGATATCCACCCATTTTCACACACGAGCCCCCACCCCAAGCACTGGGATTGTAAGCTGGGATCCCATCACATCCAGCTTTTTTGTACTTTACCAACTGAACTATCTCCCCAGCCCAAATGGGTATATTTTTTACCTGTAAAATATACTGTTCACAAGAAGTCAAGTATAATATGCAATACAATTACTTGAAAATCAGCAATGTCATTATATAATCTTTAATATTTCATAAATTTAAAATTTATGAAAACTTATACTTCGGCATTTCTTTACTGAGTAGAAAGCAGCTGTGTATACCTACCAATATAGCATTTTTCTTTTTTATTTTATGTGTCTGAGTGTTTTTCCAGTGCGAAAGTGAACTTGTATGCAACACCCATGGAGGCCAGAAGAGGGCATCAGATCCCCTGAACTAGAGTGCTGAACTTGTTATCCACCATGTAGGTGCTAGGAACAGGAATGGAACTCAGCTCCTCTACAAGAACAGTCGATGTTCTTAACCGCTGAGACATCTTTCTAGCCCCCATATTTTTCAATAATAAAAATGACAAAGGCAAATAACTTAGATGAACAGAAAGAAAAAGGAATCAAACTAGAATATTTTCACATATGAATGCTCTCTTCAGTAGTGAATATTTTTCACATTTATTAGTAACTCAGTGTGCCTAACCTTACCATTCACATTTCAAAGACACATTAGCAAAAAATGCAAATAACTGTTTTGAAAGGGAGCTGTAGCAACTCCTAAATGTTGTATTTATGTAACAAGATTTAATCTTCAGAACATCCCTGTAATTATAGGCAAGAAAAATATTACTATAACTTTTACAAATGAGAAAATTGAAGTTCAACAAAGGTGTGGTTTGCATAAATTCCCATGAAAGTCAACCATTTAAACCCGTAACACAATGCTGAAACCACTAAATGGCTCTGTAATTCCAATTCCTTGGTTTTTTGAGTAGGGAACTCATTAAAGAACCTGACATATACATTAAGAAAAGCCCTACAATTTGTCAGTAGTAAAAACAAGGTCACATCCAGGTGAAAGGAAGAAAAGATAGCCCAGAAAAAGAAATGTGTTAAACTGTTAAGAAAACCATTTACATACTTAAGTATATTCCTATAATTAATACATTAATCATAGGCAAAAAGTAAGATTGATAACTCCAAAAAGAAAGTATAGACCAGAAGACATCAGTGTTATCAGGATTTTCTTTATATATAGTCCAGTATAACATGATGCAGTTTACCTATAAAAATGACATCTTTAAATATGAATTACAGACTTAAAATCCCAATAGCCCCTGAGTAATCACAGAGAGAACTGAAGGAAATAAAAGTTAATATATGTGCCAGAAGAGAAATTTTTTCTGTATAAGTTGAAAAAATAATTCAATGTTTGCCAAGTGGAAATAACTAAACAATGCATAGCTTTTATATGTTAAAAGATACTGAAAATGTTACAATATAAAATGCAATACCCAAATGTACTTACTAATTCATTCTAAAATATTAACTCTCTTTAAATAAAAGAAATAAGGATTTCTCCTGCTTTTAGAACAGTAGCAAGAAGAATAGCAATGGCAAGGAGTATCAAGAGAATTCTGTCACAAAGCTAGTAATAAAATCTCTGAAAGACAACATCATCTGCTTTAGCATATCCTTCTAAACATGGACTACAATACCTTACCTAAGTCCCAAACACAAAACATTTTAAACAAGCACCTGGGAGGCACCATTTCACCAAGGGTGCTGTTGAGTCCACTGTGCAAATCTTCATTTTGAGAAGGGGCTGAATGAACTGATAGGATGGGTGGGACAGGTGGGGCAGATAAAGGAGGAAGAGGAGTCTGGAAAGCTACTCTGGGTCTCTCAGGAGGTATCATCTCTTCACAGTGTCTTGGTGCCATACTAAAATGCTTTAATCTAGCAGGCTAAAATAAAGAAAAAAAACAAATGTTTGTTACACAGAATCTTAAGTTTAAAGGTGGCACAGACCTCCGAAGACCCTCTATCCCGGCAGGCACTTAAGATAGCTACTGAAGAGCAGAATTTTATAGCAATTAAAGAGTTGAAAGATCCTTATTTTATAAGTGGGTAATTAATGTTCTCTGAGAAGCACATAAATCACCAAATGTCTTAGTATTAATAAATAAATAAGCAATAACTACAACCAGGTGTTAATTTTAAGTATAGTGCTCCTCCTAATACAACACAGCACTATGCTACTTTTCCACTCAGTTGCCATCTGTGATTCAAAGTGCTCTGCAGAACAGGTCAGCAAACACTTTTGGTTAAAGGGTCTGATAGTAAGGATATTAAGGCTTTTCAGGCTGCATAGTCTCCTTAAAACAACCTAACTCAGCCATAGTGCTAAAGCAGCCTTCGAAGGTTTTATTGACAAAAACAAACAGCAGCTTGATCTGTATCAGGTCATTTTACTAACCTTTATTCTAGAACATCATCTGTATGTCCTTTTTAAGATTTGAACATCAAAATAATGTTTTAACTGTTATCATTAATACATATTTGGTTTCATAAATCAGCCTGACATTCTTTAGTTGATTCAAGAATAAACAAGATCTGTGACAGACTATAAAACTTAACACGCTGATATAGTGCATTAAAAAGCTCAAGTTAATAAAAGCAAGTTTTTTATTGCATTATCTACTTCAAAGGTATTTGATGAGAAAAGAAAAATATTCACCTTTGAGAATCTATCTTTTTTCCTGCATGATAATATTATCAGGATTTCTTTTCCCCACTACTAGGGACTAGAGATTGAACCTAAGTTCTCACATATGCTCTATAACTAAGCTACATTATCAACTCTTTTGATTTACCTGTTTAGTTTTTTACTTTGAAGATCTCATTAATTAAGTTGTCCAAACTGGCCTTGAACTTAGACTGTAGCTGATGCAGGCCTTGAACTTGCCTCAGCCCCCAAGTAGCTGGGATTACAAGCCTGCACCACCAGGCCTGGTACAGGAATGATTTCTAAGGTTAATTTAAAAGTCTTATTCTATGAACAGTCAGAAGCACAAAGAAGGGGGAGATATTGGAGCAGTATTAAATCACTGGGGTCAGAAGACTACGGAAGATTGAGCCAAGGCCTTGTGCATGCTAAACACATTTGACCACTGAGCTACATCATCAACCCTAGCATTAAACTTTTAAAAGCAGACAGCCCAAAAAATAAAAACTTACTATAAATCAGAAGTTGACTGTAGCTGAATAATAATTAAAATTAATATAATTTTAATTGCAAGGGCTTGTATCTTTTTGAAAGACTGAACTTTTTAATGAAATTAAAGGTCATAATCATCATTACCAGAAGAAACAAAAGCTTTCTATATCAAATAACTGCTATATATCCAACAACAAAAAAGTGCACTGTAGTAAACAAGATAAATTGTTACCTCCTTTTTACTTAACTGCAATGATGTAATTCATTCCTCTTAACAATGCTGAGATTTGCAAAATTAAAGTAAAAATATTATCTCTCTAGTTTTATATTAAGTAACAATTAAAATGCTGAAAGACAAAGTTTTCAAGTATTTTTAGAAATTACTCTATATAAGAAAAATAAATTGGGGGCTAGAGAGATGGCTCAGCAGTTAGGAGTACTGGCTGTTCTTGCAGAGGACCCAGGTTCAATTTCCAGCACCCACATGGCCGCACACAACTGACTGTAACTCCAGTTGCAGGGGATTCAACACCCTCTTCTGACCTGCTGCAGCACTGCACAACACAGGTACACTTATATACAGACAATACGCTCATTCCCATAAAATAAAAATAATTTAAAAAAAGAAAAATAAATTAAGAGATTTATAAGAATAGCATTAACATCAATTTAAAGTTATACTGAGATAACCTTCCTTTGAAAGTATACATGTAAACAAAATAAAAGAAAAAAACAAACTAAAAATGGGTATAAAAATTAAAATAGGATAAATTATTTTAGGGAAATTAACAGTGGGTAAGATTTAAGATTAAGATTTTATTTTCAGTGACCATTTCTATAGTGCATAACAATTGAGATTTACCTGTTACCACATTGGAGGCTTGTTAGAATTAAGTATTAAACATTAAAAAATGCCAACAACTCTTACCAACTTCTCAGGGTCTTGTATTCCAGAAGCTGCAACTGTGAGTTCTAAATCTTTTTCTCTAAACAAAATTAAGATTTTATAAATTAAAAAACTGTAAGCATATAATCAAAATTATAGCCATCATTAAACAAATTTGCACACAAAGTCTATACATATCCAAATACAAATAATTCCTTTAATTGATAATAAAGTTTGAAATATAACCAAAATTCAAATTTTTTGCTGGCATACACTAAACTGTTATTTGCAAAGTAAGTATCCTAGAATAAGTATCTCAAAAACCAATGTTGGAGGTACTTCAAAGGCAAAGTAATTTACAGAAAACAAAATACAAAAATATTTTGTGAAACAAACTTAAAAAAAAAAAAAACCTCAGAGTACATGCATATTTTCAAGCAAAACATTTAATTCTTTCTAAAAACATGTTTTAAGAAAATCTCAAGTTGAGCATGGCAGGGTATGCTTGTAATCCCAGCACTCAGGAGACAGAGGTAGATGGATCTCTATGAATTCAAGGCTAGCCTGGTCCACATAGTGAATTCCAGACCAGTCAGGGCTACAAGAAAGTTTCTGCTGAGAGAGGTGGGGGCAGGGAGGAAGGGCAAGCAATCTCAGTAGTAGGGCGCTCTGTGATTGAAGGCCAAAAACACAAAAAAAAAAATTGTTAATCCTTTTTCTTAAAAAATGGCTAATAGGAAATATTAAAATATTTCCTTCTGCCGGGCATGGTGGTGCACGCCTTTAATACCAGCACTTGGGAGGCAGAGGCAGGTGGATCTTTTTGAGTTCGAGGCCAGCCTGGTCTACATAATGAGTTCCAGGACAGCTGGGGCTACAGGGAGACTCTATCTCAAAAACACAAAAAACAAAAAACAAAAACAAAAAAAATTTCCTTCTTAGAGGAGGAAAAAAGGAAAACAAGTCTCAAATACTTTAAAATGAAGATATTATTCCTAACCTCAAACTATTAAGTACTACTTCACAAATACTGAAGATTACATGAGATAGGGCAAAAGGGGATCAGGACTAAAATTCATTAGATACATCTATAAAACTGTCAAAAAGCCGGGTGTGGTGGCACACTCCTTTGATCCCAGCACTCGGGAGGCAGAGACAGGCAGATCTCTGTGAGTTCAATGCCAGCCTGGCTACAGGGTGAGTTCCAGGCCAGCTGGGGCTACAGGGAGACCCTGTCTCAAAAAGACACAACAAACAAACAAACAAAAAAAAAAAAAAAAAAAAAAAAAAAAAAAAAAAAAAAAAAAAAACGGTAAAAAAAAAAACTGAAAATAAAAAATAAAGATTACAAACACTGAGAGTTATATACAATATAAACACTTGTGATTTACTACATAAGCATTTTTATACAACATATATGTGTGTGTGTGCTTACCATTTCTTATTCTAAAAGATAAAATATTTTTGTATTTGTTAGTATGTAAGGGATAATCTAATAGGCATACAGATAACAAATATTACTGCACATCAAAATTGAGTAAGTTAATGAGGGATCTGAAAGGAGTATTTTGAATACAGTCTCTTTTATTTGCAATAACAAAAAAATGAATTCTCACAGAATTTGTCTCATTTTCTTGCAGATTTAAAAAATGGTGATTGAAATATAAGTGATTTCCAAATCAGAAGTTACATTTAGGGGGCTGGAGAGATGACTCGGTAGTTAAGAGCAATGACTGCTCTTACAGATGACGCAGGTTTGGTTCCCAGAACCCATATGGCAGCTAACAACCATCTGTAACTCAAGTTCCATGTGATCCAATGTCCTCTTCTGACCTTCGTGGGCACTGCATGACAGGGGTGCATTTACACACATGCAGGCAATACATTCATACACATAATAAAAATAATAAAATATTTTTAAAAGTTACATTTTAAAAAAAGTTCCTTATTTTGCCATCACATCATTTTACACGTGTATTTTAAATTCAAAACAGTTGTGTTAAATGCAAACCTTTCATTACCGTCTCTTGTTCTTCTGCTGCTCAGCCATTTGTTCCAATAGTTCTAGCCTGTATTTCTCTTTCTTTCTCTGAGTAAGTTCTCGATCTTCACCTCCTAGACAGCAGGAAGGAAAAAATGGAGTATTAACTCTTACACATTACATGCAACTAAAATCAAGTTTATAAAATTCTGTATTTAATTATATCAGAGTACTTACTATGAAAGAAATATAGAAGGAAAAACTTACATCAATACTTCCATTACTTTGCTAATGTGTGAATTCCTATCATATGTAAAACATAACGTGTATTAGCAATTCCAAAACCTCAACCTTTATTTGAAAACTTTCCTAAATAACAAAAAAGATTCTAATCCCAATCCCCATTTTTCTAAGAATCTAGTTAATATCTCCCTTTAATACTTGCATAAACTTCTTAAATTTAACTAGTGTTGATTCAAAACTGGTCCTCTCAGAGTCAGCAGACACACTCAGTTTTCTTAGCATTCTAATAATGAAGTGCCAATAATTGTCTAACAAGTGCAAGGCCCTAAAGTTCAATTCCCAGTATCACACCAAAAAGCAAAAGACAGAAAATAAAAGAAACACAATGTTAAAGTAGCTATTATTTCTATGGACATATGGCCGGGGGCGGGGTGGATATGGAAGCATTGTAAAGAACAAATGAAGATTCCTGATTCTGCGTTGAAAGTAAAAAGCCACAAATTGCTCTGACCCTACACTGTGAAAAACCTCAATCATCTAAAAAATTAAAACTTTCTAAAGACTCATCAGAGAGCAGAGGTTACAAGCAACCAGATGGATTAAACATCAACTGAAGATAACAGAAGATGAAAAGACTTCCCATGCTCATGGATCGCTAGGATTAATATTATGAAAATGACCATCCTACCAAAAGCAATCTACAGATTCAAAGCAATCCCACTCAAAATCCCAAATACACAAACTGAAAGTCTTAAATTTCATATGTAAAAGATTTCAACAATATACACTGGAGAAAAGACAATGTGTTCAATAAATGGTCAAACTGGCTAGCTCTGCATACTACCAGAGGAGAAAAGAATCACCATTCTTACCCGGCTGTGCAAACCCCATGAGCCATAATAACCAGCCTAGTAAGACATATCCACTGGTACAATAGTGGCACAAATGTCAGGGAGTTAACCAACCACTTTCTGTTGGATTTAAGGCCCATTCCACAAGATAAAACCCACAATTGGCATTGTTATCAGGGCCAAGAACTTGTGGCTAGACAGGTTGCAGGCCCTAGGGGAGAACCTACTACTACCACTTTTTTAAATAGACAGAGTACTGACACCAGATGACTTACCTTCTAAATGAACATAGTATTAAATGACTCCTAATGACTTATCATTATACCTAGAGATTAATGCATGTTTCAACCCTCATCAGAAAAGGTTCTTTTGGCAGCATAGAGCAATCTACACAGAGACCCACAACTGGTCCGGGTGTAGAGACTATGAGATTGTGCAATGCTCAGCCCTAAATAGGACACCTATATCATAGACTCTCCTACCAAGGCTCAGAGATCACTGGAGAAGAAGGAGCAGAAGGACTATAAGAGCCAGAGGCAGTGGATGACTACAATGAAACACTGTTTTCTGGACACAACAGAACAGGTGCACACACAAACTCAAAGAGGGTATGACAATGCTCAAAGCCTGCACAAGCTCAAGGCAAACTAAATCCCAGCATGGGGACAGGAGGTGGGCATGGTATCTCACCCCTTACTGAGAAGCTACTGGCAACTGAAAAATACTGGGAGAAGTCCATTTCTTTAAGAGTGTGGCCCTGGGCCCAGGGACTTTTGCAGAAGAAGTTAGAGGAAAGAATGTAAGAGCCAGAGGAAGGGGTGGAGTGTTAACTGGAAATGTCCTCTAACTACTATGCCAGCAAGCTATAGTCACACCTCCTTCCCACTCTCATCAAGGAGTCAAAGGGGGGAGTCAGTCACACCTCCCAGCCAATCAGTCCACCTTCGCTGCATGTTGGGGGAGGGGCAAGGGATATATAAGGCAAGAACACCAAGAGGCACCTCTCTCACAATTTTGTGCAGCTGTCAGGAGGTCACAGGATCTATATTTGAGTGTGGACTTTATGGCACAGCTGTAAATGTGGGGCACCAACTCTTCTGTAAATAAACCACTACCCTATGCTAGAAAATAAAATAATAAAACAGAAAAGTAAATACTTTAAAAATCTTTTATTAAAGTCATTCAACAAAATTGAAATAATAAAAATGATATAAGTATATGTTATGCTCTCAGATTATAAGAGACTTCAACAAGCAGTAAAGATTTATGGATATAGTTCTGTGGTAATAGAACTTAGCTAACCTGCACCAGGGGCCCTGAATTCAATCCCAGCACCACACACAAGCAGTAAAATACAGAGACACACAGACACAGACACAGACACACACACACACACAGACACACACACACACACACACACAGAGGAAACCCCCCCAAATTTAGAAATTTAAATATATACTTCTAAGTACTTCTAAATAATTCATTGTTTTGTTCTAAATGCCACATTTTGCTCTAAACAGCTTATTATCTTGCTTTTAAAGAAAGCAAAAGTAACAAAATCTTTAAAGCAAAATTATAGGAGGTACATTTTAGTTCAACTGAAATCAGAGTGTTTTAACAATTAGAACAGCCTAAAATATGCTACCTTTAGAAAGAGTTGATTTCCCTCTGAGTATGTATAAATATATTCAAGGATATGCACACACAGACACAAATAACCAAACAACCATGAAGAAAAATCACTGGATTAAATGACTTCAGTGGCTGTCACTCAGAGCTCCTAAACTGCATAATGGTAAGCTCATGCCATTCATCTTCATGTCAGTGGGGAGTAATCCTCCTATTGATAGAGTTTTGTTTTGTTTTTTGTTTGTTTTTTTTCAGTCAATTCTCAGCCTGGGCATTTCTCCTATTTTTATCATGTGTAAGAAAATACATCATAAATACGTACCCTTACCTAAACAGTAAAATTGGTCAATTCTTAAAACACATTAGAACAATGTTTTAGGGTCTATACCTTTTTTCTCACAATAGCTATTTCAAGTAAATAAAAAGTCTGAGAATATAATGTGACTCTATGTCTCCCAACCAAAATTTAAATTACTAACTGCTTTCTAATGAATCCAATGTTACCTAATTTCCTCATGTACTTTATAAAACCAAGTTGCAGCTAAGTTTTCAAAGTTTCCATTCAAAGAACAGATTTGTTTTCTATATAAAAGGTATAAGCAGGAAACAAAGCTCCATACACCATTTCTGAAACGAAATTTTGACAAATGTAATATAGCAAATCAAAAGCTTACATTCAGTAATAACCCTAACCTCTGATAAAATAGAAAATTTGGACCATCAAAACAATTTAGAAAAAAAAATACATGTCCTCAGAAACTACCTGAAGAACAGAGGTAGGGGAAAGGAATATTCAAATAAACTGAACTATAATACAAAGCAGCTTTGTGCTACCTGAAAATTAGCAAAGAATGTAGCAATTATGGGTCACATATTAAAAGAAACAACCACAGTACAACAAAGTCCTAAAAATATGAAGTTAAAACCTATTATTTCATCTATAAAGAATAGTCAATTAAGTTATTTAGCTTTAAATTTTTAATTAGAATGCATAATGCATGCTAAATGCTTAGCATGGTACACAACATAAAGTAAGCACTCAATAAATGTTTTCTATTAGTAAAAGCAGTATTACTTACAAAACTGAGTTCTCACTAAAAACAAAACTGAATTCTCACTAAAAATCTTTTATACAAAACTCTGCCAAGGTCAAATCAACCGGAAATGTTGTACATACCAAAAAGCATCCCTGCAAAAGGGCTACAGATACCACGATTAGCAGAACTAGATGGTTCATTATCTTGAGCACTGAAACAAAATGAGAAAGGGAATATTAAAATTCAGATAACTTTCAAAAAGTCAAAATTCTGAGGAAAGGCCAGACATGGTAGTGCATGCCATTAACATTAGCACTTGAGAGGCTAAAGGAGATGGAATGTGGGTCTGAGGCCAGTCTAGATTACATAATAAGATTTGGTTACATGTAGAAAAAACTTTTCTCAAAAAATTTAAAAAAGAGGGGTTGGGGGAGTAGCTCTCAATCAGTAAAGTGATTGAGAAAAAGGACCAGAGTTCAATCCCTCAGCACACACAATAAAAAAGCTGGATTAAAAAGTGTATGTCTATAATCCCACAGTTGGGGAGGTGACAACATGGGATTCCCAAGATATGCTGGCCACTCACTCTAGCCTAATTGGAGAGCTCCAGGTTCAGTAAGAAACCCTGTCTCAAAAATTAGGGTGGAAATTGACAAAGAAACCCAACTTCGACCTCTAGCTTCCACATGCACATCTGTGTGCACCCACACACACACAATCAAAAAGAAGAATTAGAGCAAAGTATAGATATGAATTACTGGCCTTTCAAAGTGTTCAGGACATTATAATATTTATATATTTCTTGGTAGTTAAAACTGTGGTATTATATTTCTCCAAACAATGGGACCCCAATATATTCAAGTTATGGAAAAATACAACCATTCTTCAGAGTGCTTCACTGGTTCAACTGGTTTGAAAATAAAATGTTGGGGCTGGAGAGTTGGCTCAACGGTTAAGAGCACTGACTGCTCTTGCAGAGGACCTGGGTTCGATTCCCAGCACCCACATGGCAGCTACAAACTGTCCTTAACTCCAGTTCCAGGGAATGGAAGCCCTCTTCTGACCTTCGCAGCACTGCAGGACACGGGTGCACTCACACACATGCAGGCAATACACTGGTACACATAAAATAAAAATAATAAAATATTTTTTAAAAAATGTTTTATTTGAAATTATCCAATAAGGAAAATAAATGTTATGCACATATAAATTATAAAAAGAGAAAGAAATCACAACCTATGCACACAGTTGCAAAAATTGTCCCAAAACAAAAACAAATTTAATGAGAATAATCAAATTCTTATTGCCAGCATAATTGATACATTATATTTCCTCAAAGAAAACAGACACTTTTCATATGACATTATCTTCACTATAGAATAGGTTGGAACAAATTTTTTCCTTATTATCATATATTAATTGAAAAAAGGTTTCATTATGATATTTTCATACATGCATATAATGTACTTGGATCATATTCAATTCCCTATTTTCCTTTCTTGCTCCCCTCCCTGATCCGCCTCCTAATCGTTCCCTTTCTACATTCGTATCTTTTTAAGAAATGGTCTCATGCATCCCAGGCTGGCCTTGAACTCCCTATATAGCCTAGGAAGCTAACCTTTAACTTCTGATTCTCCTGCTGGGATACAGATTTGCAACACCACATCTGGTTTATATGGTGCTGGGGATCAGACACAGGGCTTTGTACATGCTAGGCAAGCAATCTACTGAGTCATATTCCCAGCCTTAACGTGTTTTTATTTACTTTATTTGTTAGCTTTTTTTTTTTTTTTTTTGGGTCTTTTTGAGACAGGGTTTCCCTATAGCCCCAGCTGTCCTGGAACTCATTATGTAGACCAGGCTGGCCTTGAACTCAGAGATCCGCCTGCCTCTGCCTCCCAAGTGCCGGGATTTGTGTTTGTGTGTTGCATACATTTGCCATGTCACAAGCATGGCGGTCAGAGGACAACTTGTGGGAGTTGGATCCCTCCTTCCATTCAGCCCAATGTGGGCTCCAGGGGTGAAAATCAGGTCTTTAGATTTGGTGCCAAGTACCTTTACCACTGAGCATCTTGCTGGTCCATGTGTTTTCTTTTGCTTTGTTCTTTTAAAATATTTTATTTATTAGTTTTATTTTATGTAAATGAGTGTATTGCCTGCAAGAATATAAGTGTATCTGTCTCATGCAATACCCATGGAGGTCTGAAAAGGGCATCAGATCCCATGAAACTGGAGTTACGGATGGCTGTTAGCCACCATGTGGGTGATGGGATTTGAATCTGGACCCTCTGCTAGAGAAGCCAGTACTTTTAACCACTCAGCCATCTCTCCAGCCTGTTTTGCTCTTTTAAAATTTATTTATTTTTATGTGTATGAGTATCTTGCCTGCATGTATGTAAGTGTACCCATTCAAGCAATGCTAGCAGAAGCCAAGGGTGGGCACTGGATGCCCTGGAACTGGAGTTAGTGATGGCTGCCATGTGGGTGCTGGAAACAAATACAGATCCTCTGGAAGAGTAGCCAGTGCTCTTAACTGCTGAGCCATCTTGCCAGCCCCTGTTTTGTTTTGCTTTGTTCTGTTTTTAAAGCCAGATGTTCGTATATATAACACAGAAAAGCACCAAAAGAAAAAAAAAAAGTTAAAAACAAGCTGGGCTTTGACCCAGCATTCAGGAGACAGAGGCAGACAGATCTCTGTGAGGTCAAGGCCAGCCTGGTCAACAAACCAAGTTTCAGGCCAGCTGGGGCTACAGGAAAACCCTGTCTCAAAAAGACCAAAAATACCATAGTTATTCACTTGTTTTTCAATAGACAGAAACTCATGTACTAATTCTACAAAGTAAGCATTAAAACTGCCTCCTCAATAAGCTAAAAATCTTAAAGTTCTGAAAGAAAAATTCACATTACAAGAACATTTTTAATTCATTTCCAGTCCAATTATATAACTATGACTCCAAAATTTTTTTAAAGATTTATGTGCAGGTCAGTGTCCTCACTGAGGACAGAAGCATCAGATCCCTTGGAGCTGGAGTTACAGGCAGTTGTGAGCTGTCTTACACAGGTGCTGGAAATCGAACTTGATTCCTCTGCAAGAGCGGTATGAACTGTTAAATGTTGAACCATCTCTCCAGTCCTGACTCCAAGAAATATTAATCTCATTATTAGACCATTAAATTATGCTTACTTCTCCTTTCACTATTTCAAATAATTAATACACTTTATAATGATAGGGCCTTATGCCAGGCATAGTGGCACATACCTTTAATCCCAGCACTCGGGAAGCAGAGGCAGGCATATCTCTGTGAGTTCAAGGCCAGCCTGGTCTACAAAGCTAGTTCCAGGCTAGCTGGGGCTATAGGGAGACCCTGTCTCAAAAAAAAAAAAAGGATAGGGACTTATTTAGAAAGCCCTGCCCAATTTATAACCATGACTTTTCTTCAAAAGAATGTTTTAGGACTAAGGATATAGGTCGGTGGTAAAGTATTTACCTAGCTCAAGGCCTTAGGCTCAATCCCCAGCATGGAAAAAGACAAAAAGAAGGAAAGAGGGCTGGGTACACCAGAAGTACTTTCATTTACTAATATCGCCTCACTTTTCTTCCCTTTAATTCCTTTCTCACTAGTAAAGGCAGGCTGTTAATACACTATGCCTTTTTACTTTTCAGTAAGCCAACTTCAGGTATGAGCTATTTCACAGTGTAAAGACTCAAGGACAGAATTTGTATCACATACCTTTTACTTCCGGCAGATGAAATTCGTATGTTTGGTTGTTCTGTGACATCATCATTTTCCACAAGAGGTACATACCCTCGTCTGTTTCCATGTATCCTTAAAAACACATTAGCTTATAGAGCATATCCCACATACCATGGATCTTCTTTTATCTCTTTAGTTTTTTTAGCATTTGATGTTTTAACATTAAAGTGAACAAAGCTGTGCTGACATTTTATTACGAACACATTCTAAAACTAATTCAAATGAAATTGGCTTCAAATATGATTTGCTGGTTAATAAGAGATATTAAGAGTTTAGATTCATGGTTTGTTTTTCTTTTTCCCTGTGCAAGAAAACAAATGTGCCTTATATATACTGGGCAAGTATTCTCCAGCTATGCTGCAACTCTAGTCCCTAATAATACTCATTCTGTTTTAGCTGAATTGTAAATTTTTTTCTATGTAACTCTATTTTTTTTATTTCAAAGTTACAAAGCTTATTTTTTATTTGTATTTATTCATGTGTATGTATATGTGAGTGTGTGTGCCACATGTATACAGATACTTAAGGAAACCAAATAGGAAATGGAATCCTCTGGAGCTGGAGTTAAAAGTGGTTGTTAGTCACCATGTGGGTGATGGGAATCAAACATGGGTCCTCGGGAACAGCAGCAAGTGCTCTTAACTGCTGGCCCAACTCTCCAGCCATAAATATATTTTTTTAAGTTTAAGATAGCACAGTAGGGCAATTATTCAGTTAATACCTGAATTATATAGCACCTTCTACATGTCAAGTACTACTCTTAGGCACTGGGTATGCACAATCCCTGTACTTCACTAAGTGTATGGTCAGAATTCAAGTTTTTTAATTCAAAATGTATAGACACTGGGAATTATTTCACTGTGCATAATACAAAGCTTTTTTGTTTTTCTGTTTTTAGATTATTTTTTATGTATATGAGTGTTTTTGCCTGCATTTATGTAAGTGTACCACACGTGTGTAATGCCTGCAGAGGTCAAAAGAGGTGGAGCCGAGTGTGGTGGCACATGCCTTTAATCCCAGCACTCAGGAGGCAGAGGCAGGCGGATCTCTGTGAGTTCAAGGACAGCCTGGTCTACATAGTGAGTTCCAGGATAACTGGGGCTACAGGGAGACCCTGTCTCAAAAAGACCAAAAAAAAAAAAAGAGATTGGATACCCTGGAACTGGAGTTACAGATCACTGTTAGCCACTATGAGGGTGCTGGGAACCAAAGTAGGATCCTCTGCATGAGTAGTCAATGCTCTCTGTCTCTAAGCCATCTCCCCAGCCCTAGTACAAAGCTTTTTAACTTCAAAATATAGCAGATACTATAAACCCCATGGAAAAATCAATGTTAACAAAGACTAAATGGGAGACATTATTTAAAACCAGGTTGATACATGGTAAAAATTACTAACCATTTTAATTACAAGGTCATAAGCAACAAAAAAATTAGAATATATTTTCTTCCTAAAAATTCCTTTGTGAAAATGTGTTTTTCAATTAATCTTTTTTTTTTTCCATTTGGCAAACACTGATTTTTTTTTCCTAACTTTAATTTCTCATACAAAAGCATCAAATTTTTTACATAAATATTTATTAGCATCCATGAAAATCAGCATTTCGTTAGTCATATTTCTTTATGTGGCTGTTAACAAACTATAATTTCCTTCTCAAGAAGACAAAGAGAAAACAATGTGGTTGTTAAGTTATAATATTTAAGATGAATTTCATTATCAGATTAACAAAACTGGCAATTTTCAGCTTAAAAGACAAGAAACTTCTCATTCTCGAAAAAGAACCAGAATATCACATTCATTCTTCATAACCACCTGTGGAGAAAATCTATTTGGATATTAATCTTAATAACACTATGACTTTGGCATGAAACAGGGATAGTTCCCATCTTTACCCAGACCTAAAACAGTACCTTCCATGCCATTTTAAAATGTACATCAAGTTATTTTAAATTAGCTTTATCTAAACTAAAGCAATGATGCTCAGATGTCTTTTAAATTAAAACATCAATCTATTGTCGTTCTTATTTCTACCACTTAAAGAAAAGGCAACTAGCCGGGCATGCTGGAACACACCTTTAATCCCAGCATTCCAGAGGCAGAGACAGGCGGATCTCTGTGAATTGGAGGCCAGCCTGGTCTACATAATGAGTTCCAGTCCAGTTGGGGCCACAGGGAGACCCTATCTCAAAAAAGACTAAAAAAAAATTTTTTTTAAGTAAAACTCAAATTTAAACTTTTAATTAACAATGCCCCTTTATATTTAGTTATATTGGATCTATACAATATACATGTGCAGAAAATCTAACAGAGCAGACCTGAGACTGCCTATTTTTAGAAAGAGTTGCTTGTATAGAAAGCCCTTGGTTGGCACATGACAACATAGATTTTAGGAGGTCCCTAACAGTCTTAGAACTAATGAGTAGTTCGCTATACTGAAATGACTTGCACAAATAACAAGCTAAACAAAAAAAAACCTGATTTCCTACAGGAAGTCTGGATTTTAGTTTATGCTAGGAAACGGGGTCCCCTCAGTAAAAACCTTAAGCACTGAGTCTCAATTCAATGCTTTAGGAATTAAATATGTTCTGCGTCTCTTCACTGGTTTCCTCCTGATTGTGTTCCATGTACCTTTTCTCTTTGCTGATTTTCCTTTGTATCGATTAACTGCAATGAATTACAGCTGTCAGCTGAGTGTAGCAGCACATTCCTGTACTCCCAGCACTCGGGAGGCTGAGGGAGGAATATCCTCAAATGTTTGAGGCTTGCCACAGCTCCATAGCAAGACCCTGTCCCAAGAAAACTAAATAAATAAATAATTAAAGTCACAACTGTGAGTATAAAGATACACAAACACATATAAATAATCCTAGAGAATCACCAAACCCAAGAGAAGTCTTAGGAATTTAACATAAAGTTCACCAATATGGTAAAGAGGTGTCTGTACCATTAAAAAAAAAAATTAATAGCAAAGGGCAATTTAAAGTTACCTTTTATTTTTTGGTCTTTTTGAGACAGGGTCTCCCTATAGCCCCAGTTGGCCTGGAACTCACTATGTAGACCAGGCAGGTCTTGAACTCACAGAGATCTGCCTGCCACTGTCTCCCAAGTGCTGGGACTACAAGTTACTATTTTAGAGGCATAACTCTGGATTCCAGAATTAAATGCCAATTAAACAAATAAAAATTCATTCTAAAATTTACCCAAGAGCTATGGTTTCCTGAATTTTTAATTAAATTGTCTAAAGACAGTATTTGGATTTATAATCCGAACTTACTGTATACAGCCAGAACCACAGTCCTCACATTGTGATATAGTTACATAGGCTCTGCAGCACATACATATATCAGAAAGCAAGCACCATATTCCAAAAAGGTTACTTTCAAAATTCATTCTAAACTTAAGAAATTTAACAAATTATTTTACTGATGTTTAAGATCAAGGTTGCTGCTAATACTATAGTAAAACTGCAAAGATTTCCCAGTGAACAGCCCGTACAATATATTTTCTAAGATGTACCTTCCAATAAAGACAAAATTCATTCACAAGATTATGAAAGCTGCCAGGCAGAGTGGCACATGCCTTTAATCCCAGCACTTGGGAGGCAGAGGCAGGTGGATCTCTGTGAGTTCAAGGCCAGCCTGGTCTACAAAACTGGTTCCAGGCCAGCTGGAGGTGCAGGGAGACCCTGCCTCCCATTAAAAAAAAAAAAAAAAAAGAAAGAAAATTATAAAAGCTATCTGTTACTTATAATAAAATCAATCCTGAGCAAAATTTTAAGAACCCAAGGGGAAAAAAAACCCAGAAATATGCATTTCACTACAAAGATTATCAAATCATAAGGAATCTTATTCAATTTTATTAAATAACTGATAGAATTCTGTCTGCCATTTAAAATTAAGGAAGTACTACTATTCAAAAATGGAGATTCCATAACTTTTTAAGTCATTAAGATAAAATCCTAAAATAGACTAGAAAATGTAAGCCATGAAGTCAAATTATAATTTAGACTGTTAGTCACCTTTTTATTCTTAAGGAATTTAGGGTTGAAAATTCAACAGCCATATTGAAGTCAATTTTATTGAAAGCCTATTAATTATAAACTTGTAACTACCAACATTTAAGTAGAATGTTAGTGCTAACCACAATAACCACATTTTCAATACTGAAAACTTCTCAAACTCATTAAGGTAAAACATTAAAAAAGGTAATATATTAACTTTTACAGCTCAGTTAGCATGACTACATTTTAAGAGTCTATAATTCAAATCCTAAGAAACATTATCTACGTTCAACCTTACAAAGTTTCTAAAACATAAATTTTTCTCAAATTAATATGTCTGCATAAATGACACACATAAACACAAACAGAATACAAATTGTCCATCACAGTACACGCCATCCTGTTAATTATTTAAGAACACTGAGACTGATTCATGATATAACTTTAGGAAAACATTTTAATTTTTTTTTTTTAGAGGAAAACATTTCTTAAAGAGCTTTTACCTCCTTATCTTTAAGGTAAGAAAAATAAATCATTAATAATACATCAGGTATATTGGGAAATATAGGGTAATTAGAGAGAAACAAACCAAAATTATAAATGTAAAACATAAATATAAAAGGAAAACTGATCAGAGACTGACTTTAGGAATTGGGGGAAAGAATCTTAGAAGAATGAAGAAAAATTAATTTTGTACTTTAGCCTTAAATTTTTCACCAACAAATAGTTATTTCTCTTGCTAATAACTATACCCATTAAATGTGAACTAGTGATTGATGTAAATTCTTTTTTTCTAAGGGCGTGGATAGAATCCTAATTATTATCAAGACAGTGAGAAACACCCTAACATATGGAGATGAGAATTGGTATTGCAACAAGTGGATATAACACGATTGTGAAGAAACAAAGTATTCAGACTTAAGCTCTTGAATAAGAACTAAACCTCAGGTTAACTAATCTCAAAATACTATTTAGAGAAGTTGATTTTTTAAAAAGTTCACATATGAGATATACAAGAAAACAATGTAGTTCTCACATAATTAAGACGGAACTGATTAGGTAGTTCATATGTGAAAAACAAAGCATCAATTATCATAATTTTCTTAAAATTCCAAAGTTTAAAATTATGTTTATGGTGTATTCTAAAGGTAAATACCATAAAGAGAAAAATGAAAGTTCTAGAAACTTCTCATGTACAGAGACGATATCACCAAGATTTCATGAGTACCTGCAGTTCCCCACTTGAGAATTCTTTATTAGAGCCAGCTTTTAAAACCTACATTTAAAGATAAATATTTTCAAATGTTAGGTATTATAAGATTTGGAACATTTTCTAAAATACAAACTAAATATTAGATTCAACTCAGAGAAATCTGAACTCAAAATACCTAAATCCAAGTACATAGCAAAAATATTTTTGTTAAAATATTTTTAAGACATAGTTAAGAATAAAAAAACAGAGTACGGTATGGTGGTGCACACCTTTAGTCCCAACACATGAGAGGACAGCCTGGTCTACATGGTGAGTTCCAGGCCAGCTGGGGCTACAGGCAGACCCTGTCTCAAAAAAAATAAAAATAAAAAGTACAATAACTGTCCTTAAAATATATTGATAAAGATACTTAATGTATACAAACATTAAAGGAATAAACTGCATTTCATCTATGTTAAGATGTCCTTTTTCCCCTTATTTTAACAACTGACCCTGGGATGGCTATCAACCTGACTTTTAAGTTATGTAAAGAAAAGTTAATTTTATTCCAGCAAGTCAGCAAGGAAACTGAATCAAGACAACCTGAGTTTTTACCTTGAGGTTTTTGTGGATACTCATGACAACACAAGTTCAGACTGCAATTCTGAATCAATCCTGCTTTACAGTTCTCTTAGGCAAGATTTTGGTTACTTTTAATGCCCCCACTCAGTGTAATGGCTGAGACAAGGATTCCCTTTATGAGAAGGTTTCACATTTGTTTTCACAGTTAAGGATATACACTTTTCAGCTTCTACCTTTACACTGGGGTCCTTACCTTAAACATAAGGGGGTAAAAGCTCTTTAAGAAACGTTTTCCTCTCAAAAAAAAAAGTTTTCTCTTTTCCCCTTCAGTAGCACATAGAATAATGGTGCTTAACAAATTGATAGCATGGCAGAATTAAGGAAACGTGGTAAATCAAGTCAAAGTGCTTCTCCCTAACGTAACTATAAAACAGTGGTATTAAGTAAAGAAAATAAAAATGAAGTTGTAAATACCTGTCATTTGTATATACTCTCAACAGTCTTCTATCAAAATCACTTTCATATCTAAATCTTTCATCCATTTCTTCACTGACTGCAGGGTCTTGGTCTTGTCTATAGAGCTGTCTATCAAGAACATGGTTCTCATTAAACCTTTGAACTCTTCTTTCCGGAACACCAGCTTTGCTGGCAAAGTTTTGATGTTTTGCACTAGAAAGGCTTACTCCTTCATTTGTTTTTTTAAGATTTCTTCTACTCCTTAATTCAATTTCATCCTCTAGTTGTCGGTATCTGTCCTCTTCTAGTCTTCTTTGGTTTAGAAGCTCTTCATACGTCTCTGAAGGAATTAAGACATCTCTCCTAGAACCCTCTGAATTTGTGCATAATGTTTGTATTTGTGGTGGCAAATCAGGTTTAACTTGACTAACAGGATTTTTATTTCTTTGGCTCTTAGGCTATTGAACAAAAAAAGGAATAAATCTTAATGGGACATTATATCATGTAACAAAGTCTCAAATCATATTACATTTTTATAATGTCAACTCTGATATTTAATCAAAAAAGTCATTAAGTATCTTTTCTTTGGAAAAACATCAAAGAAATTTATTTTGCGATAAAACATTAAACATAGACAAGCAATAGTAAATTATGTAAGCAGCTATATAAACAACTTGAACTAAATTGCAAGTTCCTATGCCAAAATGTATTAGACATATTTTAACATTTACATGTACTTAAAATTATTTCAAATTAAATTCTTTCTCAACATAAAGGTGGTAAACTGTAATATCAAACAGCTTTAAATTTAGTGCAGGAAAGTGTGTGTGTGTGTGTTTGTGTGTGTGTATATAGTATGTGTGTTCATGTGTAAATGTTTTTCTATTAGATAGTCCATCATTCATTTTTAACTTTTAGTCCTTAGCAAATAATTATATGATATACATATAGCATATATGATATACACATCATACCTAGAAACTGTTAATATTTTTAAATATTTTATTTATTTTTATGTGTGTGAGTGTTTTGCTTGCATGTATGCAAATGTACCATGTAGGCCTGGTGCCTAGAGAGGCCAGAAGAGGGCATCAGATTCCTTGGAACTGGTGTTAAGAATGGGTGCTGGCTATCATGTGGATACTGAGAACTGAACTTGGGTCCTCTGGAAGGGCAGTAAATGCTTTTAACCTCTAAGCCATCTCTCATCTCCCAACTGTCAATATTCTAAAAATCACTTTAAAAAAAACAAACGAACTAGGGATAGTGGGGCACACACATAATCATAGTATGTGGGAGGCAAAGGCAGGAGGACTGATGCAAATTTGAGGCTAGCCTATTTCCAAACCAGCCTGGGCTGTATAGCAAGACCTTGTCTCAATAATATTAATAATAATAATAGTAATAATAATTATGATGATTAAAATTAAATTAAATCATTTAACATGGTTGCTTTCTATTAAATTTTCCAAATCAAAAATTTTTATAGAGCTGGGCATGGTGGTGCATGCCTTTAATCCCAGCACATGGGAGGCAGAGGCAGTTGGATCTCTGTGAGTTCAAGGCCAGCCTCGTCTACATAGTGAGTTCCAGGACAGCTGGGGCTACGGGGAGACGCTGTCTCAAAAAGACAAAAAAAAAAATTTTTTTTTACAGTAAGTTTTTCAATATGGGACAAAAGAATTTCCAAAACTAAATATTTAAATACTATGAGTTTGTTTTCATTTGGCTTAATTTTTCAAATGTTTAAATTTTTTAAAAAAGAAACAAAAAGCAAGAGTTAAATACATTATATTGTTTTTTTGAGAAATAAAAAACATTCAAGGGGCCGGGAAGATGGATCAGAGGATAAAGCACTTGCTAGATCCCCAACCCAAGTAAAAACCAGACAGATGTGCCAGCAGCCTGTAATCTCAGAACTAGGGAAGCAGAGACAGGGTATCTCTGGTGAAAGCTAGCTAGCTAAATTAGCCCAAACTGTCAAGTGCCAGTTCCTGGATCAGCAAGAGACTCCACCTCAAAAAACAGAGAACAGAGCAACAGAGGAAGGCCAAGTGCCAATTTTGGGCCTCCACATGCAGGAGGCATATCTGCACACACGTACCCATACACATATACACATTCACACACACATATACACAAATACAAAATATGCAGCCAGTGGTATTAAAAAGTACTTTAAAAGCAAAACATACCTCAGTATCCTTTTCTACCTGTCTGACCTTTTCAGTGAATTCTTCCTTACCCCTGAGAAATTGATTATATTCTTTGTTGCGTTCAAGTCTCAACCTTTCCTTAAAACAGAAATCACAAGGCAATATTAACTTCAACTTTAAAAAAAAAAAAAAGCCCCCTAATGTCAAATCAGAATCATGCAAATCAGTGCTCTAACCCTAAATCAAATTTATTAATAATTTCAAAGGAAAGAAGTAATTACTATGAGTAGGAAAAGGTCTGATCACCACTTGGCTCCCCAGATCTCTTTGGCCAAATGCAAAGACACATGAATAACTACTTTTTGGTACATTAACATATGACATCACAATAGAATGGAGCTACTCTCGTGATGAAACATCTCAATTCTTCTTTTTCTTTTTCAGTATTGAAAATAAAACCCAGAGCCTCGTCCATGCTGGCAAAGTGCTCAACCACTGAATTACATCCCCATCCTTCTTTTTACATTTTATTTTGAGACAAGGTCTCACTAAGTTATGTAGACTTGCCTTGAACTCACTCAGTAGTCCAGGCCTTACATTTGCAGTCCTTCTGCCTTAGCCTCCTGAGTAGCTAGGATTATAGACCTGTACCACCAGGCCCAGATGAAAAATCTCCACTTTATATTGCAGTAGAGATGACATTTTCCAAAGAGCTATGCCCCTACAAACCCACAGACTGCAGGTCTATTTAGCAATGGCAATCCTAGACGAATCAGTTGCATTATCTAAAGGCATTTATAGATAAATCCTCCAGCTAGTAAAGATGATAAATGTGTTTGCCAGGAGGTCTGGCAGATTCCCAAAGAAACACAGTTACCTTTCTTCATCACTTTTCAGGGACACCTCCCTCCCCTAGTCCCCGAGCCCATCTCCAAATGACTTGACATTTTAACCATTTTTCTTGACTAGGTTAAAGAAGAACTCTCATATTTTAAACACAAAAGAATAAATTATATGGACAGAAAAATAACTATAATAGAAATATTCTGTTGAAATGCAAATATATTATATTAGGAAATTGTCTCAAATCCTAACATTTTCAATGTCATAGAAACAACACAATTTTAAAGGAGTATTACAAATCTAGGTCTTCTTTTTGAATATTAACTGTCCATTTTGCCTCACGTACTATTTAATTTCACTATCATGTCTTAAAAAGTAAAAATTTGTGGAGTGACAGAAACACACATTCAAATAGCCCCTACCTCATCCAACACACACAAAAAAGCTCTTTATTCGTTCACATCCAATCACGTCGCTGATAACTAAATCACAAAGCATTAAACTGTGGCTCAGAAATCAGTACTGAAAACATAAATTCTGAATAGTCAATTAAGTAAATCAAATAGAACAAAAGAATCAACACATCAACTAAATATATCACATATGATTATAATGTTCAAAAATCATTTTCAATTACCACAACTTAGAAACTCCATAGATTAAAAAAAATCATGTAATCTGCTATACACACTAAAATTATAAGTAGGTTCTCTCCTGATTCTGAAGCCTTGGGAAACTCCTACCCATGTAACTACTCCTATCCACCTACCTTGGCAGATAGCCTCTCACCAATAGGAAGGGAAACTCCCAGAGTAGATGGGTCTGTTTCACCCGCGGATAGAAAATTTTTCTGTATATATACACACACATTAAAAATATATATTAGCTAATTGCCTTTTAAAATGCTTCATAAATGTCTTTACATTCTATATTCTAAACTGTTACATTATGCACAGCAAAAGAATGAAATGGAAATTAAGTCAGAGACTATAAATCTAGAAAGCATACCAAAAGTGATTTAAAAAAGAATTTTCTTCAATCACCAACTCCCTGAAACAAAGACTCAAGCTTTAACTTTCATTTATAATACATGTGTATCTTTTGAAAGCATGCAAAAGAGAACTTTTCCAATTTATATTCCTCTTCTAGAAATGCATTCTTCATTCTCAATGCTTTACTGGTCTTTTGAAAAGGTAAAATTTTAACACAAATATCTTTATGAATGCTTGCAATGTTTTTTCCTATTTTTGCTGCAGTTATATAAGCAAACATCTACACAAGCCCAAAAGCCTAAACTGTGAATACTGTTTCTTTGTCTCTCCATTCATGTTCATTAAGAATTTAAGTGAGGCAGTATAGTAATGCATTAGCCTGGGATACCACAGACCTGGAGACCCAGCTTCTACAACTAGCCCCCACGCTTACAAGTCATAACACTGACAATTGGTTAACTTTTCTGATACAATTTCTTCCATAAAGTGAGGACACCTGCCCTGCCTGCCTACCAAGTTAGTATAAAGATCAAAAAGGATATAAAATGTAAAAATTTCTTCAATACTTTAAAACAAATAAAAAGATAGTAAAGGGGCTGGAAAGATGGTTTAAGAGCACTGGCTGCTCTTCAGAGGACCAGTGTTCAGTTCCCAGCACCCACATGGTGGCTAACAACATTCTGTTACTCCAGTTCTGTGGGAGCCAAGACCCTCTTCTGACCTCCATGGACACTGCACAATACAGATATATGCAGGCAAAATAGTCATACACATAAAACAAAGAAAGAAATAAAAGATAGTAAAACAAAAATCCCCAACTTCCAATACTACCACTTAGTAGTCAAATAAGCTGAAATAAATCACTTTATGTCTCTGCCTCAGTTTCTTCACCATAAAAGAGGAAATATGATCTTCAACACTACATTATTAAAACTAAATCAAAATGTGTTAGTCTATCTAGATCCCTTTCATGAATTGATTAAATAATTATTGAACAGTGAATACTTTCCAGATATATAAGAGATAAGGAAACAATGATAAACTTTTGTTCCCTCTAGTCCGATTAGTTATTAACAAAACATACATATAAACAAGTAACTATAATATAATGTACTATCTTCTACAATGTCATTATATTCAAACATTGAATATATTAGAACACACTGTATATAGAATTAATAAAGTCATTACAATAAAGTTTCATCAAATCTACACTTACAAATTAGTTGTGCTACAACTAAAAAAGTTGGTGTGCTGGATCGCTTTAGAGTCAACTTGACACACCTGGGTTGAGGGAGCCTCAATTGGGGAATTGCCTTCATTGGACTGGCAGGTGGCCATGTCCATGGAGCACCTTCTTGATTGTTGAGTGATATGGGAGGGCCCAGCCCACTGTAGGTGGTACCACCCCGGGCAGGTGGGCCCGTGTTGCATAAGAAAGCAGACTGAGCAGGGGCCAGGGGAGCAAGCCAGTAAGCGGCGATCCTCCATGGCCTGTGCTCCAGCCTCCAGGTTCGTGCTCTGAGTTCCTACCTTGGGCTCCCTAATGAACTGTGACCCAGAAGATGTAAGCTGAATAAACCCTTTCCTCCCCAAGTTGGTAGTGGTCAGAGCACTTTGTCACAGCAATGGAGAAACAAACTAGGACAGTTGGCTTATGAAACTCTAGTAAGCTTCTTTGTGAAAAGAAACAAGACAAATGACTGACTAGATCCTTAACCCTGCTTATCCCATATATCGAGATACACTATAAACTAATCACTTTGTAGAATTATAAAAGAACAACAAAAAGTCATTTCAACCCTCAACTGACCATTATAAATCCTTATTGACCATTATAATCCCTCAGTCCCAAGACAGGCTTAGAATAATATCTGAAATTCTTAATAAAATGGAAAAAAATAAGCTTTACAAAAAAAATTAATTTTTTTTATTTATTAACACCAGGTCTAACTATGTAGCTCTAGCTGTCCTGGAACTCCTCATGTAGAACAGACTGGCCTCAAATTTAGAGATCTGCCTGCCTATGCCTCCTAAGTGCTAGGATTAAAAGTATGCACCACCATAACTGGCAAAAAAAAAAACTTGAATTTTATTTGTTTAGTAAATATTGAATGATTATTGTTATATCCAAATCCTTTCATACATTTGGAACTCAACAGTATGTTAGATTCTAATATTTTAATCAAAATAAATTAATAAAGGAATAAAAAGAAGAAGCTAAAGAGTGTAAGCATCATAGGGCATAAGAGTGCAAAAATAAACATCTTGAGTTCTCTTTCAATCATATTCCAAGATGTTCTTAACATGCATGATATCTGTACTACATTGAAATGAAAACAACAAGCAGCAAAACAGAAAGTTTAAGATTCAGAAAACAGCTCTGGACTAGTGAAATTAATGTACTGCTTCAATATAAAAATTGTTCTGTCTGCATTGTAGATATAGACAAGCATCCTTCCAAAAACTAGAAAGAAAATGGTATTTGTTCTAGTGGCTCTTTTTGGCAAAGATAAATTGATCTTTTTTGTTGTTGTTCGTTTTAGGGGTTTCTTGGTTTTTTCAATATCTTATTTATCTATTTATTTTATGTGTAAGAGTATAATCCCTGCATGAAGGTAGATAGACCCATGTTGTGCAACACCTGTGGAGGTCAGAAGAGGGTGTTGGACCGCCTGGAACTGGAGTTACAGATGGTTGTTAGCTGCCATGTTGGTGCTAGGAATCGAACCCACGTTCTCTGCAAGAATAGTCAGTTTTCTTAACCACTGAGCCATTTATTTCTCCAGCCTGTTTTCTTTCTTTCTTTTTTTTTTTTTTTTTTTTTTTTTTTTTTTTTTTTGGTCTTTTTGAGACAGGGTCTCCCTGTAGCCCCAGCTGTCCTGGAACTCACTATATAGAACAGGCTGACCTTGAACTCACAGAGATCCGCCTGCCTCTGTCTCCCTGAGTGCTGAGGTTAAAGGCATGGGCAACCACACCTGGCTTTTTTTTAGGGGGGGGGGCGTTTTCTTTTTTAAGACAGGGTTTTCTCCTGTAATTCGGACTGGCCCTAAACCTGCAGCAATCCTTCTTTCAGCATCCCTAAGTTAAGATTATGAGTGTATGCCACCATAGCCAGTGTTTGTCCTTTTTCCTTCTTTCTTTCCTCCCTCCCTTCCTTCTTTTTCTTCTCTTCTTCCTTTCCTTTCTCCCTTGCTTCCCCTCGCCCCTTTTTTTTCTTTTGTTTTGTTTTAGGCAGGGTTTCATGTAGCTCAAGTAGCCCTCAAAATTACTATGTAGCTAAGAATGGCCTTGAATTCCTGATCCTTCTCCCTCTCTTGTGTGATAGGAATATACTTGTGTGCCAACATGCTTGGCTTTTTTGTTTGGTTGGTTTTTTGTTTAAGTATCCATGCAATGTATAAGTCTGGAAGCCACAAGAAACCCAACAGTGGACTCTGGATATCATATTAACCCCAGGGATCCAGGAAGCTATAACTTATTTTCCATATCCTATGTAATTCTCTAGCTTCCCCCTTTAACTCCCATTTCCTCAAATGCTATCTAAAGGCTGCCTCTCTTGTTTTAAGGAAATGCTACTCCTCTATCTCACTATAAGTCTAATCTATCACAAAAGTAACTCCTTCAGTCTCCTAAATGTGAAGAGTTTTTGCTCCCCGTATCACTTTTACTTTTTTCTTTTCATGTCCTCTTTTGACTATTCAACTTGACACAACCACAGCCATCTTTGTTGTGATTGCTATTGTGCTCATCAGGCAGCCCTGGAATTCATCCCAAGGCCTTTGGTACAAATAAAGTTGTTTAGGTAAACAAGCAGAATGTGCTGCGCCTGCTGCCACGCAGACTGTTTCTTTTCTTTTTTTGTGGTGTAAAGATAGAGCCTAGAGCCTTATTCATAAAAGGCAAATACTGTGCCACTGGGCTACATCTCTAGTCCCCAGATTGTTTCTTAACTGATGTTGGACATTTCAGTTATTTTTGAGAAAGGCTGGTTATCCATGGTCCACTTTCACTAGCCTTGCATATAAACCCTTTTCTTCCTGCCTTGCTGCTGCATAAGACATGGCTTGGGATCTAATAAACTGTACTTTGTACAATCCTGGATCTGCCTTTCTTTCTTTGACCTTCAGCACCTTCTTCTACCTGTGGTAGCGAGGTCTCACACATCAAAATCACATTTTTCTGAGATGCACACTCCACCCCCATCATTTTTGTTTCTAATCTTAGACCTAAGAATACAAAATCCATAACTGAAAATAGTAGATACAGAGGAAGAGCTCACATAATCCTTATTAACTAAGGTGGAGAAGGAGAAGACATGAGGTACAAGCCTAGGAAGTCAGGCTAGAACATGAAGATGTGTCAAGCTAAGGAATTTAAATTTTTACTCAAAAGTTAGTGAGGAGGCACTGATATATTTAAATCAGGCATAGGATCATTCTGGAAAGCATCATGGGGAATGGACTGAGATTTAGTACAAGTTCAGATAAGAAGATGTAGAAGTAATTTAAGATAGAGTCTCAAACAAGCACAAGTAACTATTCTAAACCACAGTTCTGCTCTTCACAGGTAGTGAAGGAAGTGTATTGCTTCACTGCCTATCACGCAGACTTTTTTTTTTACCTTTTTTTTTTTTTTTTTTTTTTTTTTGGTCTTTTTGAGACAGGGTCTTCCTGTAGCCCAGCTGGCCTGGAACTCACTACGTAGACCAGGCTGGCCTTGACCTCACAGAGATCTACCTGCCTCTGCCTCCCAAGTGCTGGGACTACAGGTATGTGCCATCATGCCTGGTTTATTTATTATTTTTATTTTATGTGTATGTGTATTGCCTTCATGTAAGTGCACCCATGTCATGCAATGCCCACAGAGGTCAGAAGAGGGTGCCAGATCCCCTAGAACTGGAGTTACAGGCCGTTATTAGCCACTATGTGGTGCTGGGAATCAAACCTAGGTCCTCAACAAAAGTAGACAGTGCCATCTCTCCAGCCCCATAGACTGCTTTTAACCTAATCCTATTTATACCATTATTTCTCAATACTCTCTGTGCTTTTTGATCTAGTCAAGCTGATAAACCCAGTATACTTCATTCAAGTGAACCTCCAAGTCTTTCTTCAGTCTATAGTCTATTTGAAAAGCTTTCTCTTCTATTTTTCCTTTTGAATATCTACATTCTACCTATCCTGTAATGCCTTACAAAATAACATCTCTCACTATGGGGTCTTCCCTGATTGTGATTTCTTATAGTTACCACTTTCTGATTTGAATGAATACTAGGCCTCTTGAAGATAGCATTCATACCAAATTCAACTTGATGAGTGTTTTTTAAATGTTAGTTAAATGGAAGTGTTTTTTAATGTTATTTGAATGGTCAAACAATGTGTGGTATTCCTTTTTAAAAGTTTTGTAAAACTAGTTGTTTCCTTTGCTTTTCAACACAAATTAACAAATGTCATCAGCTGGTTTTAATGCAAAAATATGAGTCATCCAAATCCTGACAGTACATGTTTCAAAACATTTTCAAGTATCTTGACTATAATCTTAATCTTGTAACTAGCATAAATTGGGAAACAAAAACTGGCAAACTGAAAACAGAGTTACAATAGTTGCAAAATAGTTATAAAGAAAGCAACAAAAACAAATGCAAGGCAGGAATCAAAAGCAATGACTGCATGAATAGGAAAGGTATGGGCTGTCATCTTTCCAAAGGCAAAGAAAGATACAACAGGTACCATTTTAAAAGTCTCAAAATACAAATGAAGCTGTTTTTCTACTTGATCTGAATCATAAGTATAAATAAATGATTGTAAGCGATTACATCTTTAAAATAACCAAACTAAAAGAGAACATTATGCAGGCAAGCCTACCTTTCTTTTTGCTTGTGTAATGCCCTAAAGTCAAGAGAAACAAACCATGGATAAGATGTATTCAGTCAAAGTCCATTCTTTCCAAGAGTAAGTCACAGTTAGAGACCATTTAAACAATTATAAAGCAAGGGAAAACCAAGAGTACTGTGGATGACTAAAAACAGCATGATTAAAATATTTTCTAGCCTAAAAATGAAAACTGCATTCTAAAACTTACAAAAAAGCCATACAGTTTATTATGTAATTTGATAAAATTACCTAAAACTAAGGGTTCTACAAGATAAAACATTAAATCATAAAGCAAAGATTTCAGAGGTTGTTAAGGTTAACTATGAAGCCCCATTAGCTCCTGTGTTGAAGGCCTGATCTCCAGCTAGTGACGTTATTTTGGAAAGTGTTGGAAACTTCAGTTGGTAGACCCTTGCTAAAGGAAACAGGTAACTTGGGATATGTCGTTAGGGGCTATATCTTGTCCCCAGCCCCTTCCTGTCTAGAGCTCTGTTTCCTGGCTGTCATGATATATGTAACTTTGTTCTGAATACTTTACTTCATGATGTTTCAGTCTTACCCACAGCAATGGAGTTACCTAAGACGAGGGAAATCTCTAAAAACAGGAACCAAGATAAATCTTTTATCTCTTACACTGTTTCTCTCTGGTACTTTTGTCATAGCAATGGAGAAACTGACTTAACATAGTAGTTAATAAATGTGTTAAGTGAAAATTTATGTTTATCACATAAGAAAAAATTAGAATCCAGCATGTAATTTTAAGACTATATGCTCCTTTAGACCATGATAACTTTACAGACAACATAACTAGAATTTAACAATTCATTTAATATTAAAGCCCACTTCCCTAGTAAAAAGCCCTCCTTTGCTGGAGCTCAAACCCCAAGTCTTATACATAGGAAACATACATTCTACCACTGAGCTCCACAAAGAGTCTGTTATTCCATGGCACAAGTGCTCAGAACTACTTTTTTCTATCAAGAATTACCTTTGACTGTATTACTTGGCCAGGTATCACATATGACCCAATACTTTACAAAAATAAATTTAAGGAATAAATCTCTAACAGATAAAACACAACTCATTAACGAGATTCATTACCTGAGTAAGATAGCGTCTATAATCTTGCCTCAATTCTTCTTTTAATTTATGTTTCTTCCGTTCATAGTCTTCCCCAAGTGGTAAACTTAATCCATAATCAATTCCTTAAAAAAAAAAAATTTAAGTAGCATATTCATTTTCAAACCAACATCAATGACGTTTTCCACCCTGTAAAAAAGCGCACACAGAAATGGTATAGTTGTATTGACACGAGAGACTAGAATCAGTACATTTCATATTTAGAATGCTTCAATGGGTAACACACAGATACCATGATATTATTCCCACCTGTGAACCTAGTCATCCTGCCCTCCTGCCCAGAACAAATGTTACTCTATTCATTGTGCCTCCTTCCAGGGATTTTTCTATGTACCTATAAAAAAATAATTTTAGGAAACTGGAGAGATGGCTCAGTGGTTAAGAGCACTGGCTGCTCTTGCAAAGGATGTGGGTTTGAATCCCAGCACCCACATGTCAGTTAATAAACATATGTAACTGCAGATCCAGGAGATCTGAGGACCTCTTCTGACCTCCACGGGCATTACAAGACACAGATGCACTTCACTTACATACATGCAGACAATACACTCATACACGTAAAATAAAAATAATAAATTTTTAAAAATTTTAGACTATCAATGAGGCTGGAGAGATAGCTCAGTGGTTGGGAGCACTGACTACTCTTGCAGAGGACCCGGGTTCAATTCCCAGCACCCACATGGTGGCTGCAAGCCGTCCTTGGCTCAGCTCCAGTTCCAGGGGAGTCCAAGGCCCTCTTCTGACTTCCACGGCATTGCATGACACGGGTGCACTCATATACATGCAGGCAATACACTCATACACATAAAATAAAAATAATAAATTTTTTTTAATTTTTTAGACTATCAGCTATACAGGAATATGTGTAGAGATATGTGTCTTACAAACATGCAGAAAATATACTCATACACATAAAATAAAAATAAATAATTTTTTAAAATTTTAGACTATTGGATATACAGGGCTTTTTTGCCCTGTTTAGACAAATATTCTGCATCATTTAGGATTGTTTCTCTGTTCTTTTGTTTTTCTGAGATAAGGCCTCAGGTAGCCCAGTCTGGCAATGAGCTTAACTATGTAGCTGAGAACAAAACTGAACGTCTGATTCTTCTGCCCCCATCCACTAGTACTAGGATCACAGGTGTGTGCCACCATACCTAGTTTATAGGATGCTAGGGATTGAACTCAGGGCTTTGTGCATGCTAGGCAATCACTCCTCCAAATGAGCTACAGCTGTAGCCCAGTATCTTTCTTGTTTTTCAAAGGATAGCATAATTTAAGCAAATGAATGTAATTTCATTTGCTTCACTTAATTTTACCTAAATTTCTACAAAAATAAATACAATTCTCTTTTTTTTTAAGACAGGGTCTCCCTATGTTGCCCCAACTGGCCTGGAACTCCATTTGTAGACCAGGCTAGCCTCAATCTCACAGATATCCGCCTGCCTCTGCCTACCAAGTGCTGAGATTAAAGGCATGTGCCACCATGCCCAGCTTAAAATACAACATTTTAACATGTTTTAAATATCTTTACTATAGCATGTTCCTTATAAAAGATTATTACAGCCATGTGTTACTTAGTCTGACAATTTCAAAAAAGTTCAGCCATCAACTAATTTCATACAATAATTAATTTCTGTATGTGATAAAATACACATAAAATTTGCTGTTTCATTTCACTTTATTTGGTTTTTTGACTCAGGGTTTCACACACAAGCTAGCATCAAACACATTAGGTCACTAAGGATTAACTGGAACTCCTGACCATCTTGCCTCCACCTCCCAAGTGCTGAGACTACAGATGCGTACTACCCTGCCTGGCTTGAACTTTGTCATTTTAAACATCTTTTAAATCCTTTAAGCATATAATTCATGGTATTAAGGAGATATAGTCACAATATTGTACAACCATTACCACCATCTACTTCCACAACTTTTTCAAAGAAAAGCCTCAATTCTGAGTAGTGTTTCCTTACAAAAAATTCAAAATTTAAGCTATATTTGAGATGATGACAACAGTGATAATTGTACGACCTGCATTTAAAATTATCATGTCCAGGCCAGTGAGATGGCTCAAGAGGTGAAGGTGCTTGCCACTAAGCCTGACTACCTGAGTTTGATCCCCCATATGCACATGGAAAAGAAAATAGACTCCCACAAGTTGTCCTCTGACCTCCACATTGGCACCATGGTTCATTCATTCTTACTCTTATTCACTTCCTTCCCTCTCTGTCTCCCCTGTACCATCCCCCCCATAAATAAATGTAATTTTTTAATTTTTTAGAAAAAAAATTATCACTTTTAAGGCTGGGGATTTGGCTCAGTGGGTAGAGTGCTTGTCTACCACATATGAAGTCAGGTATTACTACAAAGACTCATTTGACTCAAACTGAACAAAAACTTAGCAGAGGGTATCGGGGATCTCATTTGTGATAAAAAAAAAAAAAGACCCAAAACTGAGGATGCTAAAAATAAATTATAATCACAACTAAAAAGCTAGTGACACCGGGCATGGTGGCACACACCTTTAATCCCAGCATTCAGGAGGCAGAGGCAGGAGGATCTCTGTGAGTTCAAGGGCAGCCTAGTCTACATAGTGAGTTCCAGGACAGGTGGGGCTACAGGGAGACTCTTTCTCAAAAAAGGCCAAAAAAAAAAAAAAAAAAAAAAAAAAGCTAGTGACATCAGTAACCTTTTGTTAATATAAATCTTCACATTGACAGCAGCTTTTGCAATGATCTAAAATTTAGAGCTAATATACAAATTTTGGTACTGCTTCCTTTCTTATATTATTTTTAAATTACAAAATGTAATTTTTCATTGGATAATCTTTCTTTTTCCAAATTTCCATATAACTTTTAAAATTGGTTTTCAAGAGTAAGTCTAAAATAGTGGAATCAATCAGAGTGAAGCACATCTGTGATCCCAGCACCTGGGAGGCTGAAGGACAATCACATGTTCAACCCAGCATGAGTAATACTGGGAGACCATCAAAATAAATAATAAACAAAAATCATGTAATTTCTAGTAGCAAGAATAAATAAGATCACTTTAGCCAACTTTGATACTATGTAATCGTTTTGCCTTGCAGATTTCCAAAATGTTGACTATGGATCATAAAAGATAAAATAAATTCTGGAACCTGAAATGCTGATGTTAAGTAAAAACACTCATGGACTTTAGATACAGAAAATACAGAAAGCATTAGTGTAGTACCAAAGCTCAGAGGTAAGGTAACTGAAAAGGTACCAAAGGAAAGAGAAAAAGATCTGAGTCCGCTGAAAGCATAAGCTAACCCCAGGTTTAATGACTAAGTAGGATTCACAGGGCTCAATGTCATTGTATTCACAGTTACAGTTTATAACATAAAAGGATGAAAATAAATTAGCACCAGAAAGAGGCATATGGGGCAAAATCAGGAAGAAACTTGGTACAAGTTTCCAAAAGCACTTCCCTAATAGGAGTCACACAGAACACAGTAATTGCTTCAACTACAAGTTGTGACAACACACATGGAGTGCTATCTCCAAGGAAGCACATTAGAGAATCAATGTCCAGGATCTTATAAGGAATAATCAAGATTCTGGATTCCCCAAAAGTATGCTTTCCACAAATAGTTTAGGACACAATGGGCCATTCTCATCATTTAGGGCAAGTTTTATATCAGTGTATGGCACTGCTAGTACATAAGTTCCAGGCATAGACCAATCTTGCCAGAAAGACTTCTAAGGACAAGCAATTCAAAGTCTATAGTAACAATTTTCTGCACAAAGAGGGACTGGGAAACAACAAAGGAAAACCAAAGGTGAACCCTGGTAGCCAAGTGAAGACAACAGTTTAAGAAAGAAGTGAGTAACATTAAATGAAGGAGGTAAGTTGAAATGATGAAATCTGAGAATTAACCCTTAAGTGAAGTTGTATTACAGTTTTTATTGACCTTGACCTTTATGGGTATGCAGTGAAAAAGAAACCTTGGTTAAAGGTGAAAGACTTGACAAGAGGGGAGCTGGAGATAGTAAAGAATTTTTTTTTAATTTATGTGTATGAATGTATTGACTGCATGTGCTGTGCCTTGCCCATGGAAGTCAGAAGAGGGCACTGGATTTCCTAGAACTGGAGTTACAGATGGTTGTTAGCCTTCATGTGGGTACTGGGAATCAAACCTGGGTCATCTGCAAGAGCAGTCAGTGCTCTTAATCAATACGCCATCTCTCCAGCCCAGTAAACAGACAATTCTTTAAAAAGCTTTGATGCAAAGGAGAACCAAGAAATTGGCAGCAGCTTAAAAACATAGAAGATTACCAGCCATGGTGGTACACGCCTTTGATCCCAGCACTTGGGAGGCAGAAGCAGGCAGATCACTGTTGAGTTCAAGTCTGGTCTACAGAGAGAAATCCAGGCCAGCTAGGACTACATAGTGAGACCCTACCTCAAAAAAACCTATCTCACCATGGGAGCTACTACCAAGGAGGCTTTAACTGGGTTTTGCAGATCCTAATTCAGGTCCTCACAACTTCCCTGGCAAGTTCTTTATCCACTGAACCATCTCCCCAACCTCATATTTGGCCTAATACTAATGATATAATATTCAGTTTTAAGCTATGAATTTAACTTTTATAGCATTCTTTAATTGTAGCCACCCCCTTGTCCCTTAAGAACAATAGCACTCTGCTGACAATAGTTAACAGGGTCCTGGCACTTGGCTCACTAAGAGTTAACAGACTTCTTCAGACTTTAATGATGTGGAGGCTTGAGGAGGGAGAGTCTGCTCCCAGAATGCTGGGAGCAGATCTTTTAGACAGCTATGTTCCTGGAATGCTAGGAAACAGGTTATCATACCCCTCCCATCTTTGTATACATCAAAGAAGGTCTGTTACTGGACCAGTCACCACAGCCTTGAGCACACTATGCTGTTTTCTCTCCATTATAATGGGAAATTTTCTATGTATTTTGTACTGCTTATACACCTGTTATTTGTAAACTCTGTATGAACTTCAAAACGCTCTCAAGAGGGCAGTGAAATGCTCCAAAGCAGCATAGATTAGACCAGGGGGATCCTGGTCTAATCTGTTTCTCAGCACCAGCCAAGCGGGGGGGAAACACACGACTACATTTAATAATATTCAAAGTACATAAAAACAATTATTTTAGTTGACAATTTTAAAAAGATCCCATGAATAATTAAATCATAATCAAGCAGTGTCAAAAAGAGATACAAGGTTCTCACTGAGTTATAGTTCATATTCATCCCATATTACCATATGTAAGATTCCAGAAAGAAAAGTTACTAGAAACCCTTTTCTTTTCTTCTTTTTTCATTTTGACAAGGTAAACCTTTTTCTTAATACCCAGTCAAGGATATCTTAAATCATCGAATATCATACCTAAGGATCCCTTGGTCTGTTGACTGTTCGGTGGTATGTTTTCCTTAGCCATGGAGATTAACAGTTTACTGTTTTCAGAAAGCTTCTCTGATGCCTTTCCCTGAAAGAGACATAATATTTACAAATCAAGGAGGGTGGGGGAAACTCTACAAAATGTACAATTCATCTCAAAATTTATTAAACTTATTAAATAGATTGACAAAATAGAGAGTGAAGTGCAAGGTTTGAGAAATTAACCAAAGATACTTAAATAATGTTATAAATGTTCTAATACCTAACTTATAAACAAGTAAGCCCCTAATAAAGGTCAGCCATTGTGTCAGATATCGGAAAAATATGAGCTTAAAAAACTAGAAAAGCTTCTATTATCACAGAATTAAACTGTTAGGGAGACACAAAATAAATGTAACACATGGGGCTGGAGAGATGGCTCAGCAGTTAAGAGCACTGGCTGGATTTGGTTCACAGCACCAACATGGCGACTAACAACTGTCTGTAACTCCAGTTTCAGGGGATCCAACACCTTCCTTCTAATCTCCATGGGCAATGCACACAGCACAAGTGCACTTACACACATGCAGGCATAACACTCATACACATAAAATAAAAATAATAAAATATTTTTAATAATAAATGCAATACATAGATTACATGATATATAAAGAGAAGCTGAGGAGATGGCTCCAGTCAGTAAAGTTCCTGCTGTACAAGTATGAGGGCCTGAGTTCGGTACTCGGCACCCACGGAGCCTGGAGTTCACTGGCCAAATAGCATAACCAAATCTATGAGCTGCAGGTTTAGTGAGAGACCCATTGTAAAAAAAGTAAAATGAAATAAGGTAAAGGAGCTGGATAAATGGTTCAGTGGTTAAGAGCACTGACTGCTCTTGCAGAAGACCCAGGTTAGGTTCCCAGCACCCACCTGGTGGCTAACAACAGTGTGTAAGTCCAGTTCCAGGGGATCTAAGACCTTCCTTAAGGCACTGCATGGCACAGGTACATTTACATGGAGGCAAAACACTCATACACATAAAAATAAGGAAATCAAAAAATTATAAATAAGATGGAATGACTAAGGAGGGCACTCAGTGTAGAATCTGACACACACACACACACACACACACACACACACACACACGCACACACGCACACACACATACAGGGAAAGGCTATTAAAAAAAAAAACAGAGCAAGATTAAGAGATCTAGAAATGCTGGGGGAGGAACTACAAGACCTTAATGAGCAGGTGATCCTTGAACAAACACAAAGATTAGAGATTAAAATAAACATATAAAGCTATATGCTTCAATGTATTCAACTCCAAACATGCACACTCAACCAAGTATCGCAGAGTAATTATGAGCATATTCTCTGCAACTGGGCAAGGGTACCAACCTGAATCTATGCCTGTGTCTACCTGGACAAACTATTTAACTCCTCTGAGCCTTATTTTCTTGATCTTGAAAACAAAACAAACAAAACAAAACAGAAAAAAAAACAAAACAAAACATGCTCCCTACCTGACAGGGATGTCATGTCTAACTGAAATGATACATATAAATTCTTGACATAATTCCTTTTTCATGATAGAGTATTATGAAAGAAAGACAACTATGGTCCACAGACAGTGGCTTAAGAGAACAAGTCACAGGGGTGGAGTATTAACTGGAAATGTCCTCTGACCACTATGCTGGCAAGCTATAATCACACCTCCTTCCCATGCTCATCAAGGAGTCAAGGGGGGAGTCAGTTACTCCTCCCACCCAATCAGTTGACCTTAGCTACATGTGGGGGAGGGGCAAAGGATATATAAGCCGAGAACACCAAGAGGCATCTGTCACCATTTTGTGGGGTTGTTGGGAGGTCATGGGATCTGTATTTGAGTGTGGACTTTACAGTGCAACCATAAATGTGGGGCACCCACTCTTCTGTAAATAAACCCCTACCCTATGCTCTGTTAAAAAAATAATAAGTAAAATATTTTTTTAAAAAGAGAGAGAACAAATCACTGAGTCAGTGCCAAGAGTCAAAGCCTCATTCTACCAACTCTGTCATCTTAATCTCATCATTTTATTTCCCTGATGTCTCAGTTTACTCATCTGGAAAATAATAAAAGTACTTGTTTCAAAGATTACTTGGAAATATAACTTTTTAAAACTATGCCTTAGCACTCCATAGTTAGCACTCATTAAATATTAAATTTTCTAAGTGAAATATACAGTTACAGTATCCAAATTATCATCTCAATTTGGATAGCTTTGTGTGGGACAGATGTTAAACCAAGTGAGACAAGGGAACAACAGGTAAATGAGAAATGACTTGGGCAGGCCAATACATATAGTTAATCTCATTACAATAGAACATATGGTACAGACTGTATCTTGTGGACATATCTTGTTACATACACTGAGCTCATGACATCTGTCTAGAATGGTGCAGTTCCCTCAGAGCCTAGCATAGTACCTAGCACAAGCTCAGTATTTGCTAAACAAATAAATCACTCTTCTATTAAAATAAGAAAAACATTAAGAAAATTTCCAGATACTGCTTTCAGAAACAACTGTGTTAACAAATTTGCTCAAAAAAAAAAATCAAATATGTATAAAGGCTGGAGAGACGGTTCAATGTTTAAGAATATTTGCTATCTAGCAAAGGACCAGTGTTCAAATGTCAACACCCATGTCCGGCAGCTCACAACCACCTGTCTCTCCTGCTCCAGGGGATCAGACACTCTCTGGCCTCCATGGGCACCCATACTGCTATGTGCAAACACAAAAGGCACCCAGGCATGCACACATTCACATAATTAAAAATAATAAATACTTTTAAAATATAAATAGTATTAAAATAAACCTCAATAATATTTCAAAAGAATTTTGATTAAATACTATAACTTTTCACATAGAAGGTAAGAATTTGCTTTTCCATCTGTTTCATTTATGTTCTATACAGACTGTCTCCTAACCATCCTCTAAAGCACATAATTAAGCATTAAAAGTCTCACAGAGTGGTGAATATTGTGAGTATAAAATACCATAGATGAGCGCACTCAGAATCATTGAACTCATGTCTAGAGTCAGACTCCTAGAATCAAAATGACAGTCTACCAAACTACAGTGTAAAACAAGATTCTCACTCACAGAAAAGGATATTCTACATTTTCATTGAAAAAATCATCAGAAACAACCAGAGACATGAAATATGTCTCGAGACAATCATTAAGTTCACCTTCATTTCCATGTAAGGGGGGTCACTTTCCAATTCAGCTTTGTCTTTAGCCAGTTTAGCTTTCTGCTCTTCAATAAACTCATCCAAACTATCTGTCATTCTGCAGAGTCTGAAAAAAGAAAGCCTTCAATAAGCATACTATACTGTAGCATTTTCAGTTATATTAACATGAAGTCTTAATCCACACTTAGTATTCCATTTCACTTATCAATTGAGAACTTCAAACTTAAGTTTAAATATAATGTCTTTCCCTTCCTCTCCAACTCCCCAGAAAAGCCTAAAACATAGGTTAATATCTAATGGCCAAAGTACTTTATACACATGTATGAAAACATCACAGTGAAACCCAGTATTTTGTATAACTAATAATAAAAAAGAAAAACATTAAATAATAAAATATGAAATCAACAAACCACCACCATAATCCATATTCAGACAATAAAAAAACAAAAGGAATTTTTTAACTTTATCTTCAAGGAAGAAAAACTGCTTTCTTAAGTAGTTAATTTCTAGCTCAATGAAAAGTTACAAAAATAATACAAGAACACTTGTATATTCTTTACCAATCTCTATTGTTGGGATTTTACCCTATGTAGTCAATCCTCTGCTCTTGTACATGAAGTCACTCTCTGCTACTCATGTACAGCATTTTTTCTTCTAAAATTATACACTGTGTGAATTACATATACCACTTCCCTTTATTACTAAACTCTCCAGGGTATATTTCTTTTTTCTTTTTTCATTATTTTATTTATTATTTTTATTTTTTTATGTGTACGAGTGTATTGCCTGCATGTATGTAAGTGCGCCTATGTCATGCAATGCCACAGAGGTCAGAAGAGGGCTTCGGATTCCCCCGGAACTGGAGTTAAGGACGGTTTGTAGCCGCCATGTGGGTGCTGGGAATCGAACCTGGATCCTCTGCAAGAGCAGTCAGTGCTCTTAACCACTGAGCCATCTCTCCAGCCCCTCCAGGGTATATTTCTTAAGAATTAGGTCGGGGCCAGTGATATATGCAGCTCAATGCTTACCTAGCATACCCAGGCTCTGGATTCAATCCTTAGCACCAGGTGGAGAAAAAGGGAAAAATAAAATTAATTTAAAAAACAGGTTACTTTCTTCAATGACCTCAACGTGATTATATCACCCAAAGAAACACTGATTTTTTTTTCCTATTTTTATTTTTTGCAGTACTAGGAAGTTAATCTAGAGCCTTACTGCATACCACACAAAGCACTCTATCACTGAGCTATACTCCCCAGTCAGCTTTTTAAGTCTAATTTATTCTTATGCCACGCTCTGTCAAATGACCCACCAGCGGCCTTTACTGGCCCCAACCTCGTTCGAAATCCAGAGTAAATTAAGTACTGCATTTTACTGTTTTGTCTCTTTTGCCTTAACATTGTTTAATGCAACCTATCTACTATCTACATTTTTTTCCTTTGTTTTTTGAGACAGGGTCTCCCAGCTGGTCTGGAACTGCTATATAGACCAACCTAGCCTCAATCTCACAGAGATCTACCTGCCTCTGCCTCCAGAGTGCAGGGATTAAAGGCATGTGCCACCATGTCTGGCCTATCTACCTTTTTTATTAGGCCATTCCTCACTTGAAATTTCCTTGTGTTTCTATATGACTAAATTCAGATTATACAGTCTCAGGAGGAATCTTAAGTGATGTGTCTTTCTCAAGGTGTCATTCAGTAGAGAAGCATGATAACCACTCACCCCTTACAAGTGAGGTTATTTTATTATGTGGTCAAGATGTCTGATTTCTCTACTGTTGTTCCACTGTAAACAACAAGCATTCCTGCAGAGATACTTTCAGACTAAGTATACATCCTATTCCTGGTCAAAATCTCCCCCTACATTTAGCATAGATTAGTGATTTTTTTTATTCATCCAATCTCTGATTTAGAGGCTACAAAATGCTAACACTGTAATTCCACCATACTTCTACATATTAGTTTACCATCAACACTCATTCTATTGTAAACAAAAGCCCTACTTTCATCCCATTTACTTATTTTATTTAATAGTACCAATTTTAGTTAATACTACCAATGCATTGTAATGAATTCATTACCACAACTGCATTTTACAATGCTTCCATTGCCTCAGTGAGACAATACCACACTCGGGACAAGGTTAAAAAAAAAAAAAAGCCATGAGATAACACCAGTAAGAGAGTCACATCTTCAAAACCTACAACCAGGTGTGGTAGGGGACACCTTTAGTCCCAGCACTCGGGAGGCAGAGGCAGGCAGATCTCTGTGAGTTCAAGGCCAGCCTGGTCTATATAGCAAGTTCCAGGCCAGGTGGGGCTACAGGGAGACCCTGTCTCAAAAAAGACAAGCGTACTAGGTTAACAAGCATACATGGAACTAGAAGAAGGAAAACCTAAAATCTGAGAAAACCCAAAATCATTAAGCAAACTATTAGTCAAGCACAAGGGACATGAGAATAATAAATAATTAAATGAAAATCCCAGTGTCAGGGATGGGCTACTTCCCTATGAGTTGTTCAGAGATGCCACTAAAGCCGCAAAACAATACAGGCTATTGCCACTGCTGTTGGCTGTGCACAAGAACTAGATGAGACAATCTTACTGCGAAAGAGACAGCATGTTTTGGCCACAGGACATGAAGAAAAAAAATAAGAACTGAACTGGAACTAAGTTGGAAGCTTGCTCTCTCCTAGCTGTCTTTTATAGTGCCAGAGAAAAAGACATCCATGGCCTAACCCAATGCCGAACCCTCATATTACAATACTAACTTGTCAGGAAAGATGTACCCACTAGTATCAAAGTGGCATGTCTATTACAGGTAATCAACCTGCTTTCTGACTGAATTTAAGGCAGGGGTGAATTCAAGCCTGGTACTATGAACCTAGTCAAAAGCCTGTGGTTGGGCGGTCATAGGCACAGGTAGAAAGCTATTACTGTTCTTTTGTTAAACATATTATTCCCATCATATTGCTTCTAAATATTCATATCTATGGCCACAGATCAGTGCTGCCGTCAGCTTTGGCCAGAGAAATTTCTTTCTGCAGTAGGCAATAGTTAATGCAGAGACTCATAACTGTTCAAAATACTGAGAATATGAGATAGTTGAATGCTCAGTCATAAATGGGATGTCTACATCACCCCTCCAAGGCTCAGGGAACAGCACAGAAGAGGAGGTAGAAAGAATCTAAGAGCCAAAGGGTGGGGTAGGGTGCTGTGGAACACTGTATTCTGGCCATGGCTTGACCACTACACTCATAAACTAATAGCAGCTATGATTATCTGCACAAGACATGCCCAAGATTGGGCCCAGCAATATTCCATTATGGAAGGGGAATGGACTCAAGAAATCCCACCCCTCCTGGAGAATCTATAAGCAGTTAATGGTTGCTGGAGGAGAGAGGCATTTCCCTTTGGTGGCATAACCACTGGTAAGATGCCCATGTTCCCGTAACCCCTTACCCAGGCTCCTGTAAGCAACCTAATTAAACTATTATGTCACCAAAAGACATGAGAGTAGAAGGGAATCTACCTGAGAAGAGGAAGAGGATTACCATCTGGCTCTTACATTTTTTCCCACCTCCTCTTCTGTGATGTTCCCTAAGCTTTGGAGAGATAACGTAGACATCCCGTTTTGTTGTTGTTGTTGTTTTCGGTCTTTTTGAGACAGGGTCTCCCTGTAGCCCTGTCTGGATTCGCCTATGGAGACCAGGATGGCCTCAAACTCACAGAGATCTGCCTGCCTCTGCCTCCCAAGTGCTGGGATTAAAGGCGTGTGCCACCACGCCCAGCAGACATCCCTTTTTTTTAATTATATTTTAAAAAATATATGTTTTGTAATTATTTTAGAAGGTGTTATGCAAGCTGCTAGAGGAGAAAAGTCATCAAAGTCTTACCCAGCACTGGATCAGACCCTAATACTACAATATTGACCTCAAGGCAAGATGTGCCCACAGGTATAATGGTGACATGGCTGTTATGGGGAGTAACCAACTACTTTCTTTTTTTATTTACTATTTTTATTTTATGTGTATGAGTGTATTGCCTGCACGTATGTAAGTGTACCTGTGTTGTGCAACACTCCTAGAGGTCAAAAGAGGGTATCAGAGTCCCTGGAACTGGAGTTAAGAGAAGTTGTTAGCCACCATGTGGGTGCTGGGAGTCGAACCAGGGTCTCTACAAGAGCAGTCAGTGTTCTTAACTGCTGAGCCATCTCTCCAGCCTCCAACTGCTTTCTGATTGGATTTAGGGCCTGCTTCAAAGGAATCAATTCATACCTGATACTGTAAACCTGGTCAAAAGCTTGGGAAGTCATAAGCCCTAGTAGGGAACCTACTATTGTAATTTTGCTAAATGGTCTTTCTGTCAAATTGCCATCTAAATATTTATGTTTATACCGATAGATCTACACTGCGCTCAACTTTGGTCAGCAAAGTTTCTTTTTCCAGTAGGCAGTAGTTAACAGGCTTATAAGTGGTCAAAGTGCTAAGAATAAGTGACTATGAGTGCTCAGGCCTAAATGGGAAATCTGTATCACACAACCCACACACCAAGGCTTAGGGACCATCAAGAGTGGGGAGAAAGAACATAGGAGCCAGAAGATCAACAGGAGTGCTGTGAGATGCTGTCTTTTAGATATAGCATGGCTACCACACTCATGAATTCACAACAACTGTGGTTACTTGCACAATTCTTAGACAAGACCAAGCCAATCAAAATTCCAGCATGGATGAGGCTGAGGCTCACAAGGCCATACCCCTAGCTGAGGAGCTACTGGCAGCTGGTGGCTACTAGGGGAAGAAGAGTCATTTTGGGGAATGTAGCCACTCCTAGGTTGCCCATGCGCCAGCTGATGGCTCCACACCTATGCACATATAGGCAGCATTAACTGGACGCAGTGGGATATAAAAATATCTATAAATTTTTTTAAATTAAAAAAGAAGAGGACATGAAGTTGAGAGGGATGTTTAGAGATGGTTCAGGAGAAACTGGAGGGGGTAGATATGATCAAAATATATTGTACATATGTATGAACTTCTCAAAGAATAAAAAATGTAAAATATATAATACATAAATATAATATGTAGTCTTTTGTGTCTGATGCCTCC